TTTTGTATCCATTCAGCCAATCTGTGTCTTTTGGTGGGAGCATTTAGTCCATTTACATTTGAGGTAATTATCGATATGTATGTTCCTATTCCCATTTTCTTAATTGTTTTGGGTTCGTTCTTGTAGGTCTTTTCCTTCTCTTGTGTTTCTTCCCTAGAGAAGTTCCTTTAGCATTTGTTGTAAAGCTGGTTTGGTGGTGCTGAACTCTCTCAACTTTTGCTTGTCTGTAAAGGTTTTAATTTCTCCATCAAATCTGAATGAGATCCTTGTTAGGTAGAGTAATCTTGGTTGCAGGTTTTTCTCCTTCATCACTTTCAGTATGTCCTGCCAGTCCCTTCTGGCTTGCACAGTCTCTGCTGAAAGATCAGCTGTTAACCTTATGGGGATTCCCTTGTGTGTTATTTGTTGTTTTTCCCTTGCTGCTTTTAATATGCTTTCTTTGTATTTAATTTTTGACAGTTTGATTAATATGTGTCTTGGCGTATTTCTCCTTGGATTTATCCTGTATGGGACTCTCTGTGCTTCCTGGACTTGATTAACTATTTGCTTTCCCATATTAGGGAAGTTTTCAACTATAATCCTTCAAATATTTTCTCAGTCCCTTTCTTTTTCTCTTCTTCTTCTGGAACCCTTATAATTCAAATGTTGGTGCGTTTAATGTTGTCCCAGAGGTCTCTGAGACTGTCCTCAGTTCTTTTCATTCTTTTTTCTTTATTCTGCTCTGCAGTAGTTATTTCCACTATTTTATCTTCCAGGTCACTTATCCGTTCTTCTGCCTCAGTTATTCTGCTATTGATCCCATCTAGAGTCTTTTTAATTTCATTTATTGTGTTGTTCATCGTTGCTTGTTTCATCTTTAGTTCTTCTAGGTCCTTGTTAAATGTTTCTTGCATTTTGTCTTTTCTGTTTCCAAGATTTTGGATCATCTTTACTATCATTATTCTGAGTTCTTTTTCAGGTAGACTGCCTATTTCCTCTTCATTTGTTAGGTCTGGTGGGTTTTTATCTTGCTCCTTCGTCTGCTGTGTGTTTTTCTGTCTTCTCATGTTGCTTATCTTACTGTGTTTGGGGTCTCCTTTTTGCAGTCTGCAGGTTCGTAGTTCCCGTTGCTTTTGGTGTCTGTCCCCAGTGGCTAAAGTTGGTTCAGTGGGTTGTGTAGGCTTCCTGGTGGAGGGGACTAGTGTCTGTGTTCTGGTGGATGAGGCTGGATCTTGTCTTTCTGGTGGGCAGGTCCACGTCTGGTGCTGTGTTTTGCGGTATCTGTGGACTTAATATGATTTTAGGCAGCCTCTCTGCTAATGGGTGGGGTTGTGTTCCTGTCTTGCTAGTTGTTTGGTATATGGTGTCCTGCACTGTAGCTTTCTGGTCGTTGAGTGAAGCTGGGTGCTGGTGTTGAGATGGAGATCTCTGGGAGATTTTCGCCATTTGATACTATGTGGAGCTGGGAGCTCTCTTGTGGACCAGTGTCCTGAAGTTGGCTCTCCCACCTCAGAGGCACAGCTCTGACTCCTGGCTGCAGCACCAAGAGCCTTTCATCCACACGGCTCTGAATAAAAGGGAGAAAAAGTAGAAAGAAAGAAAGAGAGAGAGAGGGAGGGAGGCAGGGAGGGAGGAGGGAAGGAAGGAGAGAAAGAAAGAAGATAAAGTAAGTAAAATAAAATAAAGTTATTAAAATAAAAAACAATTATTAAGAAAAAAAAATTTTTTAAGAAGAAAACAAACAAACAAAAAAAACGGACGGATAGAACCCTAGGACAAATGGTGGAAGCAAAGCTATACAGACAAAATCTCACACAGAAGCATACAGATACACACTCACAAAAGGAGGAAAAGGGGAAAAAATCATAAATCTTGCTCTCAAAGTCCACCTCCTCAATTTGGGATCATTCCTTGTCTATTCATGTATTCCACAGATGCAGGGTACATCAAGTTGGTTGTGGAGCTTTAATCCGCTGCTCCTGAGGCTGCTGGGAGAGATTTCCCTTTCTCTTCTTTGTTCTCACAGCTCCCAGGGGCTCAGCTTTGGATTTGGCCCCGCCTCTGCATGTAGGTCGCCTGCGGGCGTCTGTTCCTTGCTCAGACAGGACGGGGTTAAAGGAGCCACTGATTCGGGGGCTCTGGCTCACTCAGGCCGGGGGGAGGGAGGGGCACGGTGTGCGGGGCGAGCCTGCGGCAGCAGAGGCCTGCATGACATTGCACCAGCCTGAGGCAGGTCATGCGTTCTCCCGGGGGAGTTGTCCCTGGATCCCGGGACTCTGGCGGTGGCGGGCTGCACAGGCTCCCCGGAAGGGAGGTATGGAGAGTGACCTGTACTCGCACACAGGCTTCTTGGTGGCGGCAGCAGCTTTAGCGTCTCATTCCCGTCTCTGGGGTCCGCGCTTTTAGCCGCGGCTCGCGCCCCTCTCTGGAGCTCCTTCAAGCAGCGCTCTTAATCCGCTCTCCTTGCTCACCAGGAAACAAAGAGGGAAGAAAAAGTCTCTTGCCTCTTCGGCAGGTCCAGGCTTTTACCCGGACTCCCTCCCGGCCAGCTGTGGTGCACTAACCCCCTGCAGGCTGTGTTCACGCCGCCAACCCCAGTCCTCTCTCTAATAGTTTTTTGGATAAAGAAATAAATGGAAAACTGAGTTCAGTGCAAGCATGTTACGAGAAACTAAGGGAAAGAGATTCAGAAATAATTCATTTAACGAACAGTTACTGGGTAGGTACTTACTGATGTCAGATATCGTTTCAGGGATACAGTCCGAGGGCTTACTGTCCAGGAGAGGGGAACACACACACACATTGATGCACATCCACAAATACCATTAGTCTAAAAGAAGTCTATACAGAGAACTGAGGGTGAACAGGAGAAGGACGGGAAACACTAATTTAGCACAAGTTTCTCTGCAGCACTGGAGTTAGGATTTAGTATGGACTCAGCAAGAGATGAGACTGAAGAGGTCGATGGGGACCAGATGATTATGTCCTCATCTTAGGAGTTAGACTTCATCTTTTAGGTATCAGGGAGCATGAAAGCACCATAATTAGATTTTTATTAAGAAAACTGTTGCGGGTGGGGGAAAATCTCTTTAAAAAGTAGCCTGGAAGCCTAGTCTCTGCCTTCATGAAGCTTTCAGTGGGTAAGGAGGGTGGGGCAGAAAATAAACAAGTAAATAAAACAGTAATTGTCACAAATTCTAGGAAGGAACCAAGGTGTTGAGATAGAGAATAATGATTTGTGGGAGTTACCTTACTTTAGGTAGGTTTGTCACTTTTAAAATGAGACCTGAAATATGAAAAGGCGCCAGCTGTTTGAAAAGCGTAAGGAAGAACATTCTAGGGAGAAGCACAAGCACGTGCAAAGGCCTGGAGTTGGGATAGAGCTTGAAATTCTGGGAACTGCAAGGCCCAGTTTAGCTGGAATGTAGGGAGAAAAACAACATAGAAGGGGATGGAAGAGGAATCTATAGAGGAGATGAGAGGGAGCGGTCACAGAAGCAGGAAAAAAGGCAGGAGAGAAGGATATCATGGAAGCCACAGGAGAAAAGAGTTTCAGCATTATTATGCAGTACAGAGTGGTCTAATAAGATAAGGCGGAAAGGGAGTCCTTGGGAATTGGCAGTTACAAGGTCATTGATGATTTTGGTCATTGCCCACTCAGAGAAGTGATGTAGGTAGAAGACTTCTTTTTTTTTTTTTTTTAAAGTCAGGAGATGTCACATTAAAGTCTCCTTTTTTAAAAAAATTATTTAGTTAGTTTATTTTTGGTTGTGTCGGGTCTTAGTTGCAGCACGCGGACTCTCTAGTTGAGGCGCGCGAGCTCAGTAGTTGTGGTGCGTGGGCTTAGTTGCCCTGCAGCGTATGGAATCCTAGTTCCCCGACCAGGGATCGAACCCACGTCCCCTGCATTGGAAGGCAGATTCTTTACCACTGGACCACCAGGGAAGTTCCGGTAGAAGACTTCTTACAGCGGATTAACTACACTAAAGCTATGCTTTCCCTTCCTTTATTTTCATACTAGAGTATCTTGCCCAACAAGATTTGGTTTAATCCGGTGAGACTATTGATGAGATCTTTCAATTGCCAACTAGAAAACATTTATTAAACTTTAATTATCTGCATAGCATTGCACTTGGTGTTACGGTGATAAAACGAAGATAGGTTCCTATAATATGGGTTTAAATTCAATATTCCCAAGAAATAATTTTGAAAGGGTGGCCCTCTAGCTTCACACTCCCTGAAAAACATCCATTGTGTACCCTGGAGCAGCTTACTACTTGCTTCCCTAGACATGTAAGCATGGAAGATTGTGATAAGCCTATGTTATATGTATAGTTTATTTTCCACAAAACAGAGTGAATACAGTCTCAAAGTAGCAGCCACTTGCCTGTTTTGAGAATTAGTTACTTTTTTTACTCTTTTTCTATGCCAACATGTATTTTGATCAACAGTTTATGAATGGAGGATGCACATGTTTATGTTTGTGTGTGTACACTTCATCTATACCTCATTTTGTTTAAAGATCAACTTTATTTGCTGAATAGATTTCTGGTATAATTTTCTCAGCATTTGGAAGTTCATAATATAAGGAACTGTTTAAATATAAAGCAAAAGAGTAAGTAATGCAGATTGTCCTAACCATTTTTAAGGCCCAAATTGAGACCCATCAATCATTCATCATTTCAGTCATTCATTAATTTAATACATATTACTGAGAACCTACTCATCTTCTTTTCCAGACCATTATGAGCTTTTCTTAGATCCGTAGCACTTATAGTCAGTACCTCACATTTTTGTAGAGACTTGTATACTGACTTGCATTGTTCTGTCATTAGTACATGCTGGTCTTTATGTTTTTAACTAGTTTGGGTTCTCCAGAGCGGAGCCCTAGCCTTATGTTGATTTTGTATCCGCAAAGCACCCAGCATAGTTGTAGGTGAGAATATAGTGGGCACTTGATAGTTGATTGACTTTTATGATTGGGTTTTCAGGTACTTATTTATGTTTTTCCTGTTCTTTAGTTTCCCTCAGCCTTTTTCAAAGGAAGGGTAAACATGTGTGCTGCATTTTGCTATGAGGTTTTAAAGTGCTGCACATCAAAGATTAGCTCAACCAGGAATGAAGCCTCTGCACTTTTGTATCTTCTGATGAGAAACAACTTTGAGTATACCAAAAGGAAAACCTTTTTGAGGACACATCTGCAGGTCAGTGAAAACCAAAGCTCCTCTTCTTTTCAATCTTTAGCCTCTATGTCAAGATCTAGAGCTACCCAATCCAGTACAATAGCTATTAGCCACAGGTGGCCATTTAGCACTTGAAATGTAGCTAGTCTGAATTCAGATCTCCTGTAAATATAGAATACACATTGGCTTTTGAAGACTAAGTACAAAGAAGTAAAATATCTCAATTGTTTTATATTGACTGTATGTTGAAATGCTATTCTGGATACATTGGGGTAAGTAAAATAAATTAAAATTCACTTGTGTCTTTTTACTTTTTAATGTGGCTACTGGACAATTTCAAATTACACATGTGACTCAGATCATATTTCTGTTGGGCAGCACTACTCTACAGCATAGGTGTGAAGAGCATAGATTCCAGATTCCAGGACTATCACACACTGTGTGACCTTAGCAAGGGCTTCCTTAGCCTCTCGGTGCCTCAGTTGCCTCATATGTAAAATAGTGGTAAATATCCCTACCTACCTCGTAAGGATGTGGTGAGGATTAAACGAGATGATTAAGTAACAAACAAAGCACTTGTACTTTTCATGTTCCAGCATGCCCAGTTAGTAAAGAAAGGAGAGAAGTCTCAAGGTTTAGTAGAAAGCATGGACTTTGGAATTGGACCTACCTGGGCTTAAATCATAGCTCGGCTGCTTACTTACTTATGTGACCCTAGGCAAGATACTCAATTTGTCTTAACTCTTTGCCTCATCTGTAAAATGAGGCCAAGTATGTTTCACCTTGCAGGGTTATCATGAGGGTTAAAAATAAAGTGTGTGTGGTGCCAGGCACAAAATACCTGGCACATAATAGACACTGAGTGCGTGGCAGTTGTTTTTCAACGTCTCCATGTTTTTTAGCTTATCTGGTGAAACAACTCTGAATTAAACAGCAATTGGGACTTCTTGGCTCAGTAGCCCTCTTTGTAACATGGGAAATGCTTGGTCATATTTCTGTCTTCACTGCCTTGGTCTGTCCCATTGCAGTTGTTTATTGGAGACCGGGTTATAAATGAGGAAACAGCCATAAGCAGCTTTTTAGAAACGTCGTCAGTGAGGTGAAAATCTGATAGAAGTATATGCTTCCTGTAAAAATCTTCTATATAGTTACTTTTGGGTACTAGGGCCAGCATTATATGTTAGGGTGTCTAATATTTGCTTTCATAGAGGTGTCACGTGAGTACCATCTTCCCCCAAAATATTTCTGCAATTAGCGTTCTGGTGTATCTGAAAATTCCCCAGTAGGGTCCATTCTTCTGGGTTAAAACATCCATTTTTCTCAAGTCCTTTATTCAAATATAAATGAATTAATAAATATGCAGACTTAGAACCAGGTTCTAAGTGGTCAATAAAGTGGTTAAGTAGTAGTAGTATGATCTCTTTAATCTTCATAACAGCTCTATAAAGTAGGTATTGTTATCATCCCCATATTGCAGCTAAGGAAAGTGAGGCACAGGAGGGGTAGTTAACTTTCTCAAACCCACTCAGCGAATAATGGATAAAGTCAAGATTTGAATCTAGGGCGGTTTCACTCAAGAGCCTGCACTCGGCTCCTACAGTATCTTGCTTCTCCAGATCAGGGGTAAAGCTTCCAGCCACTGACACCTTAGCCTGAATCATTTAAGCATTCAACCAAAGGAGCCTGAGAAATTAAAAAGCACCATTATGTTATATTATACTGCTATCATTATGTAATGTATATGCCATAACATATACTGCTATCTAAACTAGATAGGCCCTAGTCAGAAACAAAGAAGGGAGCTGAGGCGCTGAAGTTGGAAGTCCAGCACACTGAAATAGACTAGTGAAAAGAAATGAGAAACCATCAAGAAAAAGGTCATTTATTCCCAACTTTGCCATAGCTACCACGTAGCAGGCATATTGAAAGTAGAGACCTGACCACCATTGTATTAGTTCACTAATTATGAAAACAGTTTTAGATCTAGCTGTGCCATGAGTTTGGAAGGTTTTTCACATCTAACCAAGAAAAGTCCCAATAAAATTTGTAATTAGGAACCTCTGAAGTTGCTGTTTCAATAGAAGAGTTTAAACCCCTCATGTATGAAGAAAATAGATTTTGATGGAACTATGTAGGATCTTCAAAAGAAGAATTTCATATGAGTGCTTATAGGTTTGTACAATGATGAAAATAAGCAGCATTTGTGCAAAAGACATTTGAAAAAATGGTGTTTGCTTCTTCCCACAGATTATCATTGCTGTAAGCCAGCTGATAGCTGATGTAGCACTAAGCGGAGGATCGAGATTTCAGGAGTCTTTATCCATTATCAGTAATTTTGCAAATAGTGACAGACCCATGAAGGTATGTTCTCACTTCAAGTAAAAAATTAGAACTACGTTCACTGTCGGGGAAGCTTACACTCCTCAAGTTAACCTGTGTGCTGGATTTACAATTTTTATATAGTGTAGAGTTTATAGAACGTGAGCTTCACAAGTCAAAGCTTTGTCTTGTACACCACTACACCTCTAGCACCTAGAACACTGCCTGGTACACAGTGGATATTCAATATTATTTGAATGGATGGATCAATGGCTATACTGTGTATACATAGTTATGATAGGATTCCGATTTTTTTCTGGGCTTGATTTTTAAACTTGCTCAGAAAAGAAATGGGTCCTTTCTTAACAGTTGTTACCATTTATAAGATTGGTTAATTAAGCATTGAGTTTGAAATTTCACAAAACCTCACTTATTAGAGTAGCTAACAGCTGCCTGATCCTTTGCCAACAGATAAGGAGTGGCACAGAAGGGATTCATTATTTGATGCTTTTCTGAGTTGAAAGAATCATCTGCTAACTGGGGCTTACCAGAGATACTTATTGGCAAATCCAAGTCCAAGGCTGTCATTCTTAGGCACCAGCTGGCTGAGGCCAAACCCAAGACCCTGACCACCATTCCTCTTTCCGAGCTATATGCTTAAGACCTATAACATTGTGAAAATTCATTTTTTGTTTTGTTGCATGGAGAGCAGGTTCTGATCTTCAGTGATGCATGCGTACAAGGGAAGAAGAATCCTTTGCCAGTAGAGAACTTTTCCTGCCCGAGGAATCATCCCCATTCTTGGGAAAAGTCATCTTTCAGCATAATTTGACAATTTGCGTAAAATCTGGGAAAAAAAAAAGGCTCACAGTCACAGCATACTTAATGTTTGGGATGTGTCGAATCTTTGTACCAAAAAATATTCCCATAGGAATGTTGCTGAAACTGAAAAAAACACTGAGTAGTGCCAGCCATTGTCAGGCTGGGAAAGTTTGCTTTTCAGCCAGTTCTGGTTCCTCGGGAGATCAGTATATGCTTCAACTAATCCCATGAGCACAGAAAAAGCTTGTGTCATTTAGGATTTTTTTACTTACACCCTAAGAGTTTATTTTTACCAGTTTTTACCATCCTTAATCCCACGTTATGTAAAAGTTGGGTTAGCAACTTTTTCAAAGTAAATGGGGTCTGTTTTAGCCCTCCTTGATAGGAAATCTTTTTCATGACTCATTTCTGAAATGACTTAGTTTTATCCTGGTAGGGAAGTCATTACCAATAAACTCTAGTACGACAAAGTATAGCTTTCTCCCAGTAAATGGAATCTCTATTAATGTATAAGAAGAGACTTTACATATATAATTATTTTTAAAAGTCATCTTTAAAGAAGGCACTTTTAAAAATAATTTTCTCCACATTTGGTTATATTCACATTGAAAGGCTCCCAAAGCCCTGTACCTGTCCCTTACTCATCTTCTCTGAATCCTACAAATAATTGTGATTACTCCAGTGGGGTTAATAGGAAGCAATAGGACTTCCTTAATAGTGCCCAAGATAAAGAGGAAACTCGAACTTCGTGTTTTTGGGTACAGACACTTTGAGAGAAGTTAATGATCTCTTTAAACTCTTCAGAGCGTTCTGTGATTCATAAACTCTTATTTGCATAATTGGAAATTTTTGCAGTATGGTTTTCACCTTAGTGTATATGGTAGTTGGTAGATGGGATAAGTATGCTTGTCGGTATGGAAGAGTGACTAAGATCACTAGCTTTGGAGCCAAACTGCCTGGGTGTAAATCCTGTCTCTACCACTTACCAACTGCAAGACTTTGGCCAAACTACTTAACTGCCGTGTACCTCGGTTTTCCATTGGTAAAATGAATTATGATAGTACTTAATTCATAAGGTTGTTACAAAATTTAAAACATGTAAAGCACCTAGGCCACTGCCTGGTGCATAGTAAGCTGTCAATTTTTAGTTACTGTTGTAACTAAAATTACACAATAAAAGTGAATATAGATTACACTCGTAGCTGTAGAGTTCACGGTGGAGGAGCTAGGGTTCAAAGCCAGGTAGACTGGCTCCGAAGTCCGTGCTTTTATGTATTATGAATATACTGCCCTCAAACTCATTGCCTTTGAAGCCTGAGCTAGTGAGATATATTTTTAAAGAATTAATTTAAAACTCTTTAGGCATGTCACATGCCAAGAACCAAGAACCAAATACCAAGATCTCTAACAAGGGGTAAAAGTTGTGTGTTATTCCCAGGATTGGATGCCTAGGCTTAGAGCACACTGGTAATATTGATAAACATGTCTTTTTTTGTTTGTTTTGATATTAGGCAACTGCTTTTCCCACAGAGGTTAAAGACTTGACCAAGAGAATCCGTACTGTTCTTATGGCCACTGCTCAAATGAAGGAGCATGAGAAAGACCCCGAAATGCTAATTGATCTCCAGTATAGCTTAGCCAAGTCCTATGCAAGTACCCCAGAGCTCAGGAAAACCTGGCTTGATAGCATGGCAAAGATTCATATAAAAAATGGAGATTTTTCAGAGGTGACTACTTACGGCTTTGTTCTAAACACAACCCTGCAAAACCCCTGGAGCGCAATCTGACAGTTCTTTCTTTGTCATCCTTTTTCAGGCAGCAATGTGTTATGTCCATGTAGCAGGTTTGGTTGCAGAGTTTCTTCATCGAAAAAGTAAGACATTTCTGTTCTTAGAGATGGGGAGAACTTCAGTTAGCACAAGAATTTTTATCTTTGTAGCTTGCAACACTGAATGTGATATGATTGAGCTCTGAAAAATGTGTTTATACCTTTAGCCTTATTCACTGTTAAACAGAAGTTGTTATAAAAGAAAACGGGATTGTTCATTTGCCTTCTGCTTTCATTAAGAGTACAAGAATAAGCTAAATAGTACAGGGCCAGGCCTGATGCCCAATGTTTATTCTCCAAGACTGTCTCCCTGGAAGACTGCCACAAATTAAATTCTCAGGGCTTATGAGAAGCCGTGGATAATACACACCACTTATTTTCCCCTATCTGCCTCAACTTTACCAACAACTGCCCACAAATTAGAACTCTACAGCCACTTTAGTGCAACAGTATCTTGGTATTAAAAGGGAGTTGGCACATCAGCAAGATGGCCCTATAAGACGTCCCTCGTTTGTATACCCATCTCAACAGCAATTTGGCATCCATACATGGACGTAAGTGCCTTTGTGGGAGTTGTGGGATCCAGCACCACATGCCAAGGGACCTGGGAGGAATTTTACCCACCCGTGCATCAGGTAATAGGCAGACAGATCTGTGTCCTGTCTGTGGACCCTGCAGTGGCCTGTGAGCTGGCTCCAGCCCCTCTCAGCTGCAGTCCGGGATCCCCTGGAGAACACTGTCTTTAGATAATCACCCACAGATGAGAGAGCCTTGGGGGAAGTCCAGAAGTCCAGTGGAGAAGTTCCAGCGTGCTGTCGGAGCAAAAATTATACAAGTTGGAATACACTGGAGAGGACAAGAGGAACAGTTTGATTTCACTCGTGTCACCCTTTCCCCAAGGTGGCACAGCTCAGTGCCAAGATAGACTTCCTCACCGTGATTTCTCCTGCAGGGAAAAGTGAGAGCATGTGAGTGGGCACTGCCTTTCCCAGCAGTGCAGATGTTGCCAAAGAGGCCCATTTCTCTCCTGCCCCATCGAGAGTACTGAGTCATGAACTGAATGAGTGGGGGGCAGGAAGAGGCTGGGAGAGCAGCAGATCGGACTTAGAGGGCATTACAGGGACACAGATCCTACTAACCGCATCACAGACTCCATCAAAAAGCCCACCAACAAATTGCTAGAGACATTTAGCCTGTGGATCCCACCCAGCTGGCCCACAGGCACCCCTGGTGCTCCATGTGCCTCAACCACATACTGTAGCTGGATCTCTGTGCGTGCTCCTGAAGGCAGATGGCTAGTGAGCATGTGCAGAAAACCAGCCAGAATCGGTGGGCCAGGGAGAGACCACAAGCTTGAACTTTAGAATCACCCTTGGGAGATCAAATGGGAGGCTGTTAGCACCTGGCCTGGTGTATTGCATGATGGAGAAAAGACATACACGCTCAAGAATTCTGTCATAAGAGGGAGCGAGAACTGTGGAGCAGGTGTATCCATAGCAGGGCTGTGAAAGCCTCAGAATCCCCAGCAGGACAGATGGAAAGTTGTTCTCTCCTAAAATCAGTCAGTAAAGTTGGTTGGAGGTAACTGCTACTTCAAATGTGAAGATAACAATGGAAGACTTCAAGGAACATGAAAAATGAAGGAAACGTGACACCACCAAAGGATCACAATAATCTCGTAGTAACCAAACTCAAAGACATGGAGATCTGCAATTTATCTAATAAAGAATTCAAAATAGCTGTTCTAAGGAAGCTCAGTGAGCCACAATAAAACAGAAAATTCAACAAAATCAAGAAAATACACGAACAAAATGAGAAGTTAAACAGAGATAGAAATCTCACAAAAAAGGACCAAACATATTCTGGAGCTGAAGAATACAATGAATGAAGTGAAAAACCGCAGTAGAGAGTATTAACAACAGAATGGATCAAGCAGAAGAAATAACCTGAATTAGAAGACCGGACTTTAACCGAAATTATCCAGTCAGAGGAGAAAAAAGAAAAATGAAAAAGAGTGAAGAAAGCCTATGTGATCTATGGGATACTATCAGCAGAAACCTTACAGGCCAGGAGAGAGTGGGATGATATTTTCAAAGTGCTGAAAGAAAAAAAAAAACAACTGCCAACCAAGAATACTCCATCCAGCAAAGTTGTCCTTCAGAAATGGACAGATGAAGGCTTTCCCAGGCAAAAGCTGAGGGAGTCCATCACCACTAGACCTGTCTTCCAAGAAACGCTGAAAAAAGTTCTTCAAGCTGAAATGAAAGGATGCTTATTAATAACATGAAAACATATGAAATGTATCCATATGAATGGATAAAGAAGACATGGCACATATAATCAATGGAAAGAAGGAAATCCTGCCATTTGTGACAGAATGGATGGCGCTTGAGGGCGTTATGTTAAGTGAAATAAGTCAGAGAAAGACAAATACTGTATGATCTCACTTACACGTGGAATCTTAGAAAGCCAAATTTGTAGAAACAGGAAGTAGAATGGTGGTAGCCAGGGGTAGCGGAAATGGGGTAATTTTGGTCAAAGGGTACAAACTTCCACTTAAAAGATGAGTAAGTTCTGGATATCTTAATGTACATAGTGATTATAGTTAACAGTACTGTTGTATATACTTGAAAGTTGCTAAGAGTATAGATCTGAAATGTTCTCACTCCCCCCAAAATGGTAATTATGTGTGGTGATAAACACTACTGTGGTAATCATTTCACAATATATACATGTATCGAATCAACACATACACCTTAAACTTACGCAGTGTGAGATATCAATTATGTCTCAATAGAGCTGGGGCTGGTTGCAGGGGTGGAAGGGGGCCACAAAAAGGAGTCATGGTCTTGAAGGGCTCAGGATCCAGCAAGTCTAATTCAGGAATCTTCCTGAAAGCTTCCCTTTCCAAAATTAGTATTGTTGACTGTTGTACTTAAATAGTAAAACAGTTGAGTTAGGTTTAAAAATTGATTGGCAATGGACATTGCAAAGAAATCTCCCGCTATCTATCATAATTGCCAAGCTATTTCCTTGAAGGCAGTCAAATGAGTGACATTTGGGCAGAATGAAACCATCTTGTGGGAGTCACATCGCTGCGGTTTTGGCTCTGAGAACACTACCATGTTCTGTTTTGTTTTTTAATTCCAGAATTCCTACAGTTAACTATGTATCTTTCTTCCCAGATAGCATGACTAAAATGTAGATTCGTTTTACTTATATTTTAAATTTAACCCTTTCTGTTTGATACTGAATTTCTTTTGAACAATCCATATTTTGAAATTGGTATACTCTAGTATTCTCTTTTTAGTACATAGTGGTTTCAAAATGGAGAATGGGATTAATTATCAGAAGAAGGCCTTGTTTGAGGGTTTTTTTTCCTACACCACCGGTATGCCTGAGAAATTGCAGTAAAAACAAATATTGAAATTGCACACCTGCAGTTGCAAAAAACTAACAAATATGAGAGCCCTAAACATGGTAGTAAATAAAGTTTTAGGTGTGTCTTTCAGGTATATCAGGTTAATATAATCTCATCTTTTTCAGTAGTAGAAATCCGAAATAAGAGTTTTTTGTCTACTGAGTATAAACCCTTTATATATTGAAAATAGTTAAATGTATTAAAATGCTTCCTTAGAACTTTTTTCACAAGTGCAAAGACCTTAAAACTAAGCAAAAATCAAGAATTATTCATCTCCATTATCAGTTCTTAAGCTTTAGAATTATAACTATAGTATTGGAGAAAATAGCAACTTAAATATTGCTGTGGGCTTTTTTTGGACATTAGCTTGCGGCAGCTAGCCTGAACATCAAACAATGTGACATGTTTCAACAAGTGGAAACAGTGCTTTTAACTGGTCATTTAAGTATTTCATAATACCTTCAAGGTTTTTTTAGAGTTGATCCTTCACAGAAATCAAAGAGCCCTTCTCTGAGTAGGAAAAAAATGATGTTTTGCATTTTAAACAAAAAATAATGTTAAAGGGCTTCCCTGGTGGCGCAGAAGTTGGGAGTCCGCCTGCCGATGCAGGGGACGCGGGTTCGTGCCCCGGTCCGGGAAGATCCCACGTGCCGCGGAGCGGCTGGGCCCGTGAGCCATGGCCGCTGAGCCTGCGCGTCCGGAGCCTGTGCTCCGCAACGGGAGAGCCCACAACAGTGAGAGGCCCGCGTACCGCAAAAAAAAAAAAATAATAATAATGTTAAATATAGGAGAGGTTTACATATTTATTTATAGGTGCCATCTATTTTTAAGCCTGGAAAATTCTACTCAAACTAGAAAATCGTATTCTAAAATGGTGGCAGTAGTAAAATCTTCAGGATTTCCCCCCTTAGCTTCAATCATGCCAATGATCGAAAACACCTGATTTTGCTAATTAGCTGATTCAGCTATGATAGTTATACCCAGGTAGACCACTGATGTTAAAACAGAAGTTAAAAACTTAATCTGTTAACCTGTCATTCAGTCTGAGAAATCCATGATCTAGATAAGACCTGGATATTCACAGAGTAAATAAAAGTACGTTTGAGTGCAGGACTGAAAAAAAAAGTTTTATTTATGCTTAAGACACACTTATTTAACAAAAATAATTGAGCAGTTGTAGAACCCTGTGTTTTCTATCAAGTGTCCTTGATAATGAAGCCAAAATCTTTGACGTATCGGTTGCCAGAATTTTTCTGTTTTCTCAAAGTCCTATGCCATTTCTCTTGAAGTCATTATAAAGCTTTTTTTTTCATCAGGATGGAATGAAATGCTACAGCTGATGCATTGGAGACACACGATTTCCTGTTTAGAGTTTTTAAGAAGAAAAAAATAGTTTGTCTCATTGGGTGGTTGCCTAAGCGAGCAAGGAAATGGGCCCCTGGCCTCCAGAGGTGACCACAGAACACCAGTGAGGGCCCATTTCTAGATCCTTTTTTTCATTTTTCAGGCCCTGAACTGAAAGGGAAAGGGGGAGGAGGTGTGCAGTTCTCCCTGTCCCACCGCCACCCTCAGACGTCTTTCAGGCAGCCAGAGTTCCTGCTCTTTGTACCAGAGATCTTAAGGGTCATCATTCTCTTCCCTTTCCCTAAGTTATCTCTAAGTGGTGATACTAGGTGTTAGTTACTCCCACTCCCAAAAATATGTAATAAGAAACAGATCTAAATTTCCTTATTTTTATTGTGTCTGAAAACCTCAAAATGTTCTAGATCTCATTCTCTGGAGCCTAGACTTAGGTACCTCTTCCTCTTCTCTTCCTGAGAGAGTGCACAACTGTTTTCCCCCAGGGAAGACAAGAATCAAGTCTGCATTCTTACACCGCCACATAGCATCCGAGGTTCAGCAAAGCTTCAGGCCTGTAGAGCTCCTCCAGCACCCCGGGAAAAGGAATTTCATTTCCCATAGAGTCTGTTCTTTTCATGCCTTATAGGATAATGTTCCCTTCGCCAAGTCTTTATACCCAGGTTCTGATAGCTTAAGTCCAGCAAAGCTTTTTCTTTACCCACTTCCTTCCCAATCACAGCCTTTTCCCTTTTTGCCCTCCGCTTTTACCTCCTATCCCTCTTCTGACCAGCAGTCTTATTTTATCAAGGGTTGAACTGCTTTCCCATCGTCGAAACTCCTCCCTGCTTTTTTCATGGGACAATTTGTTCTCAAGGTGTAGTGGTCTCTACTTGGACAGTTTGCATCTTGCTTTCCCTTGGACAGCAATCAGGAATACAGAAGCTACAGCTATGAAGGGCAAAATCAGGAATCCAGGTCACATACCAGAAAGATTCAAAGCAGAGCCTCCAAGACCATGTTATAGAATGCTACAGAGGGCTACGGGAGAGCCCTCACACACGTGCCTCCCTCTGTTGGGACATATACACTGGCCTAGATTCAGCAACTTGTTTCATCTGAAACAAGACTAAACTAAACAAGACTAAAGGGAATCAGAATTTTCCCTGAGCATTTTAAAGACCCTAACAAACAAAGGAGTCCTCTTATCATTGGATAGTTTGGTGGGTGTTGGATAGTTTGGTGGGTGTTGATAACTTAAGCAAACAAGGGGATATATAGGCTTTTCGAGCTAGAGATAACGTCATCAGGCATAGGACTCAAGGCAATACACCTAGCAAGACGCGGAAAATCCGTAATAGTAGTCTTTACACCGGATGATACACACAATGAAGTCCAAAGGAAGAACCATAATTTACCCTCCTTCTACTTAAGGTACACACTGGAAGACTCTTTCCCAAGATGCTTTAGTCTCATCTGATCTCAGAAATAGGAGTGTGCCCCTTTTTGTCCTCCCCTAAATCACGGCCTACTAGAGAAACCCTAGATTTGGGAATCACTTAAAGTAATAATATCCTCAGCGTAGACAGGATTTTTCCCCCAGTCGTGGACCTAGCTGCCTGAGGCCTTCAGGGATTGACCCTTTTCTTTGTTAAGGACCACACTATCTCTTCAGTCAAGTTTTGGGGCCCTCTTCCTTAACTGCCTAGCTCTCGACTTCATAGAGGTAATCAAGTGGGACATTTTCTCCTAAGTTTCAAAAAGTTCTCCTAATGCACTGCTACTCAGAGTGTCCCATGGACGCAACTGCCAGTCTGAGAACGGTTTCTTACTGGTCCACGACAAGATAAGGAATATTAACCCAAATGTAAATCAACTTACGGCACTGAGCATGATGGTTAGTTCAGCTGAATTTGTTTTTTTATAGAAAGACTGTTGAAGAAGGAAGTGATGAATTGATCTACATTCTCCTTATCGTGTTGTGATCCAGCCCTTTGAATAGAATTCCCCTAGCAGTCTATATAACAGACCATTTTAGGCATGCTTATCCTCAGAAATGAAACATGCCATGCTCTATCTTCGGTGCCTTTTTTTATTACCTAATTTCTTTGAACAAAAATGGCCCTAAAGTCCATTGGGTCAAAGTAAATCTTATTTTCATTTCTGCCTCTCCTTTTTCTCTAACAGAAATCCACTGACTACTCCCTATGGGTTTCTCCATTTTTGAAAAAGTGCTTCAGAATAACCCCATCTTCCCTTACCAGAATCCCATCTCTCTCTCTCATAGAAGTGTGATGCTGACTTGATAACTCATTTTCTATCAAGCGTCTTACCAGAAGATGTATGTCTAGTTAGCATTCACTTAGACAAGAAGAGTTGGCAAAATCCAAGCCATGATACATGACCCTTTCTTTCCATCAGAATGCTGAGAAATCTCCTCAATGTGAGGTTTGGCTTTCTTAAACCTTCCTTCTTCCTTCCCCAACCTCTAACACCAGGAAGCTTACCAAATATTTAGTCGTGAGTAGGTCATCATTTCTGAGCATCACTATTAGAGAGGTTGTAGAACAATAGATTGCAAAAGCTGTCCCCTTTGTGACCAGCCATTTTCCACTGCCTAGCAGATTCGGTTATAAGGAAGCCAAAATTTCCTTAACTGTAAAATGACAGCCCCCTTAGGGGTAAACGCAGCCAGAGCAGGAGTGTTTGGACATGTTCCTATGTCCAGAGTCTGCAGGGAGGGCAACCACGTGGCCGCCTATACCCATACTCTTGCTCGACAGTAACAGGTTGGTCCACAGTCCTACAGCAGCTGTTCTCAGCTTGCGCTCACTTCCTACTTCCCAGGGGTCCAGCTGCAGTCACTTACTATACGAGCTGCCAGCAGTTATTGTATCTTGAGAAAGCTAGTTTATTCATTGGTAGCTTTGTTTGGTAATAATAATTCATTGCACACTTGTTATATGTTAGGTTCTGTTCTAAACACTTTACATTTCATTGAATTCTTATAAGGTAGCTGCTGTTTCTATTTTACAGGTGATGGAACTTTTTACAGTCCTAGAGAGAGAAACATGTCTGAAATCACACAATTAATGATAGAGCTGGGTCTGTCTAACTCCAAAAGCTCTGGTTCTTCCAGCGCCCCATCCTGTTTCTCTAAGGATGCCTCATCCCTGGCATCTGTTTTATTTCTTGCCTCTCTTTACAAGTCCTAGGCTAGGCTAACAACCCACTTTTCCAATTCTCCAGTGAAGTGAGGAACTAGAGATGACTACAGAAGCTCATTCGGTGTTTACCTGAAAAGTACATGCTCTCTTTGTTTAGGTGACAGACCATACACGTACACAGGATCAAAGTGTTAATAACAATTTTTAGATCACATTAGGAAAACATTTACTATAGTAGCCATTGAAGATGATGCATAGTCAGAGAATGAAACTTATTTGGAAGTAACTTGCGCTCACCATTTGGTAAAAAAGACTGGTAGGATGTATAGTAGGTAGAAATAATTTGTAAAATTCTTTTTTTGTAACTGAAAATTGCACGTATGACTTTGATCCTTACAAAAATATGTGTTTATTTTTAAGGGTAACTAATCCCTGTAAGGCTATCTGCTATTTACAGAACACTTTTTAAAAATAAATTTACTTCACCGGTTTTTATTCACACAGAGTTATTCCCTAATGGATGTTCAGCCTTCAAGAAAATTACTCCCAATATAGATGAAGAAGGAGCAATGAAAGAAGATGCTGGAATGATGGACGTCCATTATAGTGAAGTAAGACTCCAAGGCCTGCATTGCCAGTTATATAAATTTAACTTCTTAAAATTTATTTACATTACAAAATTATTACAGCTAAAAAAAAATTATTACAGCTAACTTAATTTGGAAGGTAACGAAGGGTTGATGAACTGGAAGCATTAAAACTGCCCAGGGAAGAGATGTCCCTGTGTGGAATGTGGAGCCCTATCTCTGGAACTGTTCTTATTGTCTGGTTTTAGAAATGTACCATGTATCTTCCTCAGATCACCTTCCCAGTAACCAGATCACCGTCAACATACTTTGGAGAAATCTCCGTAAAAAATAGAGCTAATGATGTAACAGCTAAGGAGAGGATGCTTACAAGCATTTTCAAGATGGAAAATTTCTGCTCCAAGCTTCATATGGGTAGCAAACAGCTTCGGTTGTCCATCACTCAACAAATATTTGTTGAGCACTGACTTATGAGCAAGGCTTTGGACTTGGTGATATAGAAGCTATAAAATAATTAGATATGGCTGATCCCTGACCTTACGTCTACCTAGAGAGATAATACACCTGCTCGAAATGGAGAAAAGCAAGACAGTGCCATTTGAATAATACAGACAGTATGTTCCATGCAGCGTTGAAGGTGAGAGATGCCTTTGAGCTGAGGTAGAACAGAGGACAGTTAGGATTAGAGAGAGGTTTGAAGCGTGAAGACACCCTGAAGGCATTTTAGCAGAGGGAGGATAACGGGGACAAAAGTTAAGAGGTGGGAAAGTATAAGGTATGTTTGGGGGCACAGTGAATGGATCATCTTGGCTAAGCCGTTGGGTTCACATAGAGAAGAGTAGTAGTTGACGTCAGGTTTTGGGAAACTTTGAATGTCTGGACTTCATTGATTAGAACGTTGAATTGCTGTCAAAGGTTTTTGAGCAGGATAATGACAAGATGAAAGCAAGGAAGAGGAAAGGTTAATTTGGCGGTTATGTGGGAGATGTATTAGAGGTAGATGGATAGGGGCCGGAGGCAGAGTCTGGAGGGCGGGCTGCCCTAAGAGCCCAGATGTGAAGCAGCCAGGTCTAAACCCAGGTAGTGACAGGTTCAGGAAACACTGTGAAGAAAAGAGGAAGACTTGCTGGCTGGGGGAGAAGAGTCAAAGGTAGTGCTGAGATTTCAGGTTTGGATATTATAGAAAAATGATGGATGGATGATTTTACAGGGGAGATGGTGAAACCAGTTTTTGATGGGTGTTGAATTTGGAGTAGAAGGTTATTGAAATGGAGATAACATCAGGCCATTAGAAATTCAGAACTGAATCTAAAGAGAGAGATCAGGGTTGGAGAGCCACATCTGGAAGTCGTAGCTGTGTGAGAACCAAAGCACACTGACGATGGGAGATAATACAGCAAGCGAAGACCAGAGAACCAAGGACTGAAGCACGTTGATGTTTACAGTTAAGGAATGTGAAGACCAAAGAAAGAAGGAAACAACAAAAGTGGAGAGATTTAAGGGGTTGCAACCCCACAGAAATAAATTTTTTTTAACATTGTATTAAGAAGCATAAGAAGCCGCCAGGTTAAAGTGGCAGAGACATGTTTTATACTTTATGAATTGTTTTTTAAAATATTTTTATTTAATTTTTAAAATTTATTTATTTATTTATTTTTGGCTGCTTTGGGTCTTCATTGCTGCGTGTGGGGTTTCTCTATAGTTGCGGCAAGTGGGGGCTACTCTTCCTTGGAGCGTGCAGGCTTCTCACTGCAGCGGCTTCTCTTGTTGCAGAGCACGGGCTCTAGGCGTGCGAGCTTCAGTAGTCGTGGCACGCAGGCTCAGTAGTTGTGGCTCGCGGGCTCTAGAGCGCAGGCTCAGTAGTTGTGGCGCACGGGCTTAGTTGCTCTGCGTTATGTGGGATCTTCGCGGACCAGGGCTCGAACCCGTGTCCCCTGCATTGGCAGGCGGATTCTTAACCACTGCGCCACCAGGGAAGTCCTGTTATTTAAAAAATATAAGCAATCTCAAGGTAGCTCTAGTTCGTTTAGCTAAAATGATATATGCCTAGAAGCTTTACCTACTACTTCTATATGGATCTCTCTCCTCATCAATAAAATAAAGGTGATAATACTATCCTGGTCGCCTCACAACAAATGTGAAGGCTCTTTATAAGTCATTAGGTGCTACATAAATGTCAGACTTTATCACTGACCAACTTGATAGTAAGGTTTCCTTTTACCTCCAGAACCTAGAAGAGTAGATACTTAAAACATCCTTGCAGAATTAATTAATCATAACAGAGAATCGAGATACTTGAATTTTAATCCCAGTTCATTGCTTGACTGTGAAGCCTTGGGTAAGTTAATTCACTTTTTGGGTTTTTAGTTAGACTTCAGTGATTTTCATCTAAGACCCCCAGTTTGTGCGGGCTGGCAGCAGAAAGAGTCACGGGAGTTTGTGGGAGATAAATGTTTTAACACAACTGAAGTTACATCCTTTTTTTCCAAACAGCAGCTTCAACTTAGTCATAAAAATGGCCTTGCGCCTGACCCTTTTTTATACTCTCAAGGAGAGCGGTCATATTTCTTATTAGTCCAGAACTGTAGTCAGTTTTTTATGTAAACACATTTGTTGGAACTCTTGTGTTCTACAGTAATAATTTACACATGCTTTTCATTTGAGGTATACAGACAGAATCACGTTCTCCGTAGTGCCATTTTATGTTTCAGTTTATGTAATAGGGCTTCTTCCTCGTGCTCTAGCCGATGGAAAATAACTGCCACCGATTTACAAGTTTTATTGAAATGAAAAATACAAATTGTTGTTCATTTAGTGCCTTATTTAAATAGGTTAGTTAAACCAATAATAATTTAACTGGTTTTGAAAACTGCATTTCTGACTTCTGATTTGCAATCGTTTTTAAAGATATAATTAGCATACAGTAAAATTCACACATCTTAAGTGGACAGCTTGATGAATTTCCACAGTTGTACACACCCATATAAATTACCACCAGAGACAAGAAAGAGAACGTGTCCATTCCCCCAGAAAGTTCCATTGTGCCCATTTCCAGTTAGTCTCCCCACCCCCACTCTCTGATTTCTATCATTATAGATTAGTTTTGCCATATTTTGGTGTCATAAAATGGAATCATTCAGTATGTACCCTTCTGTATCTGCCTACTTTTGCTTAACATAATGTTTTTGAGATACACCCATATTGCTGAGTATATCAGAAGTTCTTTTTCATTGCTAAATATTCCATTATATCAATGTAAGATTTTTAAATCCATTCTCCTGCTGATGGATTTTAGATTGTTTCCAGTTTGGGATTGTTATGAATATAAGGCTGCTTTAAGCATTCTTATCTATGACCTTTTGTGGACATATGCTTTCATTTTTCTTAGGTAAATACCTAGGAGTGAAACTGCTGGATCCTGGGGAAGTTATATATTTAACTTCATAAAAAATCGCCAGTTTTTCAAAGTGGTCGGACCATTTTATATTCCTACCAGCAATGAATAAGAGTTTCAGCTGCTTCACTTCCTCACCAGCATTTGATGTTGCTAATCTTTTTTTATATTTTTACCATTCTGTTAGACATGAATTGGTACCTCGCTGTGTTTTTCACTTGTATTTCCCTAATGACTAATGGTGTTGAGCACTTTTTCTGTGCTCCTTTGTCTTTCACATATCTTCTTTTGTGGAATGTTTGTTCAAGTCTTTTGCCCAGTTTTAGAAATTGCATTTTTTTTGTTGTTGACTTGGGGAGTTCTTTCTATATTCTGGATATAAGTCCATTGTCAGATATATTTGCTGCAGATTTATTTACCAGCCTTTGTTTATTTATTTTCTTAATTGAGTCTTTTATTGAGCAGAAAGTTTTGGTTTTGATGAAGTTCAATTTACCGTTTTTTTGATCGTTTGTTTTTGTGTTGTGTGTTTGGTCTGAGAAATCTTCGCTTACCTCAAGACTGAAGATACTGCCTTATATTTTCTTCTGTAAACTTTGTTTCTGAGTTTTATGTTTAGGCTGATAATCTATCTAGAATTCATTTTTGAGCATGGAATGAGATAGAGGTCAAGGTTCATTTTTTTCTTTTTTTTCTTAAATTAATTAATTTATTTTGGGCTGTGTTGGGTCTTTGTTGCTGTGCGCGGGCTTTCTCTAGGTTGCAGCGAGCGGGGCCTACTCTTCGTTGGAGTGTGCAGGCTTCTCACTGCGGTAGCTTCTCTTGTTGCGGAGCACGGGCTCTAGGCACGTGGGCTTCAGTAGTTGTGGCACACGGGCTCAGTAGTTGTGGCTTGCGGGCTCTAGAGCACAGGCTCAGTAGTTGTGGCACACGGGCTTCGTTGCTCCGCGGCATGTGGGATCTTCCCGGACCAGGGATCGAACCCGTGTCCCCTGCATTGGCTGGCGGACTCTTAACCACTGAGCCACCAGGGAAGTCCCAAGGTTCATTTTTTTCTAAACAGTTATTTTACATGGTCCACACCATTTGGGGAAGAATAAAACTTTTACCCCCACTGAATTGCTTTGGCGCCTTAGTCAGATTTCAGTTCTTTATATGTCTGTGGTCAATTTCTAGACTCTGTTTTGTTCCACTGATCTATTTGTCCATCTTGATACCAATATCACACTGTCTTGATTACTATAACTCTATAAGTCTTGGAATCGGGTAGTGTTAGCCCTCCAACTGTATTCTTTTTCAAAGTCATTTTGGCTCTTCTGTATCCTTTGAATTTCCATGCAGAATTTCGAATCATTTTTTCTATTTCCTCAAAATAGCCTGCTGGAAGCTTTGTAGAGATTTTGTGACATTTATATATCACTATATGGAGAATGGAGAGCTTAACAATACTGAGTCTTTCAGTCAGGTCTTATTTAGGTTGTCTTTAATTTCTCCCAGCAATATTTTGTGATTTTTCAGGGTCGAAGTCTTTTCCTGGGTATATATTGTTAGATAATGGATGTTCTGATGCTACTGGAAATAGTATTGCTTGATTTTTTAATCTTAGTTTTCAATTTGTTGTTGCTAGTATATAGAAATACAGTGATTTTGTGTGTTGATCTTATAATCTGTAACCTTGCTAAATCTGCTTATTAGTTTTAGTAGTTTGTATATTCCTTAGGGTTTTCTACATACACAGTCATGTCATCTGCACAGAAAGACAGTTTTACATTTGCAAACCTCTGTGCTCGCGCTCTCTCTCTCTCTCTCTCTCTCTCTCTCTCTCTCTCTCTCTCTCTCTCTCTCTCTCTGTCTCTCTCTCTCTGTCTCTCTCTCTGTCTCTGTCTCTCCTTATTACACTGGCTAGGACCTTCAGCATAATGTTGAATAGAAGTGGTAAGAGCTGACATTCTTGACTTGTTCCCAAATTTAGGAGAAGAGTGTTCAGCCTGTAGGTTTTTGGGTTTTAGTAGATGCTCTTTATCAGATTGAGAAAGGTCTCTTCTATTCCCTGTTTCCTGGGGATTCTTTTCTAACATCATGAAGGGGTGTTGAGTTTTTTCAAATGCTTTTTCTGCATCTATTGCTTGAGATCACATTTTTCTCTTTTGTTCCGTTTACATGGTTCCTTCTGTTTACACTGGATTTATTCCTAATTGTAAACCAACTTTACATCCCTGGGGCAAACGTTACTAGTTTGTAATAGATTTTTAACTCCCCCAAAGTTCCTCCTTCCCACTGTTGATAGAAATTTTAATTTGGCTATTAAATGTTAATATATAGATTATTTTTTCAAGTAGCAGCATTTAATGAACATCTACTATGTACTGCCGCCATACCAGTGACTGAAGAAACCAATATAATACATTGTCCCTACTCTTGAAGAGTCACAGCCTATTTGGAAAGTCAGGTACATAGATAACAGACAAGTAATAGTGCTAAATGTCCACCCAATGAATTATCAGAGTAAGAGAAAAAGGTGTCTTGTGTCTTGCTACTCTTTGTTAATCAGGAGAAGAATCCTGGCAGAGGTGATACCTAAGCTTTCTTAAAGGGTTAACTAAGTGAAAGGGATTAAAGGACAAGAGGGTACAGAATGGACAAAGGCACAAAGTTAAGGCAACACCATGGTGCTTCAGAGGAACTACCAGTAGCTCATCGTTGTTTAAGCATCAAGTACCAGGCTGAGCATGATGCATGATGATATTATAAAAGTATCAGCCAGATCACTGCAAGGCTTGTGTGCCAAATGAAGGAGCTTGTCCTTAGTTCTGCGAATGATGGGAGCCATCATGAGATTTTAAGAAGGGAAGAAGGATGTGGTCTGGTTTGCATTTTAATCAGAACCCTATGGCAGATTTGTGGAGGATAGATTTGAAAGTGCCAAGGCTGGAAGATCAGTTAGAAAACAATAATGAGGTCTTGAACCTTGGCAATGAGAGCAGAAATGGAGAAGAAGGGTCAGATTTGAGAAATATTTAGGAAGTAAAACTGGCAGAACTTGGTGATGGACTGATTAGAGGATAAGTAAAGAAAGAGAGTGTATTAGTTTCCTAGGGTTGCCATAACAAGGTACAGAAACTGGATGGTTTAAAACAACAGAATTTTATTGTCTCACAGTTCTAGAGTCCAGAAGTCTGAAATCAAGGTGTCAGCAGGGCCATGTTCCCTCTGAGACTCTGGGTAGAAGCCTTCCTTGCCCCTTCCTAGCTTCTGGCGGTAGCTGTCGATCTTCGGCGTTCCCTGGCTCGTGGCTCCGTTACTCCAGTCTCTGCCTCTGTAGTCACGTGGTGTTCTCCCTGCATATCTCTGTCATATTGGAGTAAGGGCTCACCCTACTCCAGTATGACTTCACCTCCACTAATCATATCTGCAATGACCCTATTTCCAAATAAGGTCACATTCTGAGGTACTGGGAGTTAGGGCTTCAACTTATCCTTTTGAGGGGCACAGTTCAACCCGTAACAAAGGGTAAAGTCAAAACTGCCCTTAGTTTTCTAGCTAAGAGTTTATAGGGTGTGACCCCTGGCTAGGTAGGAAACACAAGTGAAAGAGCTAGTTTAGGAAGCAGAGGAATTCAAAATTGTCTAGAGGACATACAGGAAGAGCCGTTTTAGCAGTCAGTTTTATAGGCCTGAAGTTCGTCTCTTTAAGATAGAAACGAACTGTTAAGACTTACGGATAGCATGAGTAATTGGCTTCATCTTTTTATTGTTGAGAACATGACATGATGGTTGTTTTATAGCGGCTGTTATTATAGCAAGGTCAGAGATCTCTATCTTGAGGTGGTATTATACTGTCATTCCCACTCATTTTAGAACCAACAGTGAGGAAGGAAGCACTGTTGACCAAAATCACATCATTTTAATAAACACCTTTGTCACTGATGCAACAGCTTGAAAATTGCCAAATTATCTTAAGACTCTATTAATTGTGTTTAAATATAATTTCAATATATAGGAAAAATAATGGACATTTATAGACTTAGTGGACATTTATAGACTGTGAGACATTTAAACATCCTCAGTTTGGAACAATGTATCCCCTTTTAAAAATACTTCTTCTCAGTGTGTTACCATTTGTAAGTACAGTTAACATCTTCATTATGTGATAAAGTAAATAGTAGTTTACTATTGTCAGTATTAATTTCATACTTCTAAGAATGGTTTCAATTTCAAATACTTCAAGTATGTGATTTAGAAAAATATAGTCACACAACTATACTCCTTCTGTGCATTTCATTAAATTTAGTACATTCTGTTCTCTACTAACTTGAAATGGTCCAAAATATATTTGCCCAGAGCTCTAAAACTATCTCAAATTCCTGATTGCATTTTTCTCTCAATGCAGGAAGTTTTGCTGGAGTTGCTAGAACAATGTGTGGATGGCTTATGGAAAGCAGAACGTTATGAAGTAATTTCTGAAATTTCCAAGTTGATCATTCCAATTTATGAGAAACGTCGAGAATTCGAGGTAGGTAATTTAAACATTTGCATCATTGGCCTATATGTTTTATTTTGGTCTTAAGTTACTATCCTTAAAAAATGCTAGGAGGCCCTAAAATTACAATCCTACCTCCTGTTCACATAAATTTTCCAAATGAAATTAAGGACCAGACATTTGATATAAATTGAAATTTACATTATACCAGTGGTTCGCAAAACATTTTTATCTAGCAATCTCTCCTCCTCCACTCGTGGCAGAAAACAATCAATGTCGTCTTCACTAAACCTTCACTAAAAAAAGCTGTTGGATTTCCATGTAGCCCAGGAAGAGTGATAGGCATGATTCTATTCTTTGCAATTTGACGGTGAGACTAAAGGTGCTGGCAGAGGACAGTCGGGGAGATAATAGTAATAACCCCACTGTGAGGAGTTTTTCCAATTTAGTCTGCCAGATAAAGCTGTTGATAAAGGGTAGTTAATAAAGAATAGTAGTATAATGAGCAGCTGTTGCCACCAGCACTGAACAGGAATTTTTTTTTTTTTTTTTTGCGGTACGCGGGCCTCTCACTGTTGTGGCCTCTCCCGTTGCGGAGCACAGGCTCCAGACGTGCAGGCTCAGCGGCCATGACTCACGGGCCCAGCCGCTCCGCGGCATGCGGGATCTTCCCGGACCGGGGCACGAACCCGCGTCCTCTGCATCGGCAGGCGGACTCTCAACCACTGCGCCACCAGGGAAGCCCAGAAATTTTTTATATTCAAGTCTCTAAGTCCATATCATAATTTTATACCCTTACTGTGCTGGGAAGGGATGATTTAGGATTCAAGCCATTTTTTTTTAAAGCAAAGCAGTTTATCCTTAAATATAGCAAGTAGTCTTTCATTGTTGAAGAAGTTTCCAAGAGTGAAAACATACATTTAATATCATCTGTGTAGTGTTCTAATCTCTGTTCCAAACTGGCTCCGATCAAACTCACCTTTTCTTCCTAGGTTCTGGGTCTTTCTCTCTTTGCCGTGCCTTTGGTGTGTATGGGGCATGCCTGAAAAATCATAGCGGAGTTCAAGTGATTATATTAAAAAGCAAGAGTTAAATAATTAAATCTAAGTCATACAGATGACAAAGAATAGCCTATGAGACAAGACAAGAATTGGCACTGAGCTTTCTTTCAAAGCATTACATCCTAAGAACGTTTGTAAACGTTTCAAATTACCCACTCTCTTACTCTTAGGTTGAAGATCGGGTTATTAGAAACCCAGGGAACATTTTGCTACTCAATTGACTAATAGGGAAAAAAGAAAAATAGAGCTTCCCTACACATTAAAGGAAGCAACATGTTCTATAGGGGAACTACTCCTATTCCCTTGTAGGGGTGCAAGGGTCTGTATAGATCCCTTAGTGTTCTGCATGAGATGAAGTAATTTTTCAGTGTATCTTTATGGGATGGGCTGAAAAGTGTCAGAGGTGGCAGCCATAAAGGTAAGGAAAACTTCCCTCAAATTGAGCTCAACTGCAGAAAATAATATAGGAAGAATGTTAGACAAAGAATGTCTGCTTCTGTGCTCCCCTTTTTTTACTGAAGTGAAATTCACTAACATACAATTGACCATATTCTAGTGTGCAATTCAGTGGCATTTAGTGCGTTCTTAACGTTACGCTCTCACCACCTCTCTAGTTTCAAAACATTTTTATCACCGCAGAAAAAGACTCCATATCCTTTAGTAATCACTCTCCACCCTATGCCCCACCCTCTGGAAACCACTAACCTGCCTTCTGTCTATGGATTTGCCTATTCTGGATGCGTCATAAAAAAAAATTAATACAACATGTGACCTTTTGTTTCTGGCTTCTTTCACTTAGCATAATATTTAGAGATTCATCCAGGTTGTAGCATGTATCAGAACTTCATTCCTTTTTATGGCTGAATGATATTTCATGGTATGGATATACCACAATTTGTTTATCCATTTGGGTTGTTTCCACATTTTGGCTATTGTGAATAGTGCTGTTGTAAACAGTTATGTATAAGTTTCTGTATGGGTATGTTTTCTTTTTTTTATATCTAAATTTATTTTATTTATTTATTTTTTGGCTGCGTTGGGTCTTTGTTGCTGCACGCGGGCTTTCTCTAGTTGCGGCAAGCGGGGGCTACTCTTTGTTGCGGTGCGCGGGCTGCTCACTGCGGTGGCTTCTCTTGTTGTGGAACATGGGCTCCGTGCCTGCGGGCTTCAGTAGTTGTGGCTCGCGGGCTCTAGAGCACAGGCTCAGTAGTTGTGGCGCAGGGGCTTAGTTGCTCCGCGGCATGTGGGATCTTCCCGGACCAGGGCACGAACCTGTGTCCTCTGCATTGGCAGGTGGATTCTTAACCACTACGCCACCAGGGAAGCCCTGGGTGTGTTTTCATTTATCTTGGATATATACCTAAGAGGGGAATTGCCGGGTCATAGGGTAACTCCATTTATAACTTTTGAGTAACCACCAGATTGTTTTCCCTTTTACACTCCCACCAGCAGGGTACACATTCCACATCCTGATCAACACTTATTTTTGGTTTCTTATTACAGCCATCCTAGTGGCTGTGAAGTGGGGTCACATTGTGGTTTTGATTTGTATTTCCTAATGACCAGTGATTTTGAACATCTTTTCATGGCCTTGTTGGCCGTTTATATATATTCTTTGGAGAAATGTCTATTCAAGTCCTTTGCTCACTTTTAAATTAGGTTTTTGTCTTTTTGTTGTTGAATTGTGGGAGTTCTTTATATTTTCTGGATATGAAAACTTATCTGTGGTTTACAAATATTTTCTCCTGTTCTGTAGGTTGTCTTTCCACATTCTTGATAATGTTCTTAGCACAGCGTGCTCCCTTTTTCTGGATGTGTAGAAGAATATATTCTTTGAAAACGTCTGTGAACTTGTATAAAAGGAGTCCACACTCAGGCTTATACTATTATTTTTCTGTCTGCATTTTATTTTCTTCTCCAAAATTGTTCGCATGGATTGTTTATTCTCATCTCTCCACCTAAGAGCTCAAGCAAAGCATTTTGCTTATCTTTCAGTTAAAATAATTCAGACATAAGAAAAAAGTAGTCAGTAACACAGTATTTTTAAATTATACACTACCATTGAGATATGAATGAAATGAAACATGATATTTAGAAATACAGTGTTATTTGACCATTTTAAGCTCTACCCTATGACCTAAAGTTGTTAAGGAGTTTTGTCTAATAATGACCATGGGGGAGGGGAGTGTGAATGACCCCACCAAAACCGTTTTGCAAAGGAATTAGTGTTGCTTTTTTTTTTCCTGTGCATTTATCTTAGACATTTACTAACTAACCAAAAGACAAAGCTGTTTCGTTTATTCTCATTTTTCAGAAACTTACTCAAGTTTATAGAACTCTTCATGGAGCTTACACAAAAATTTTGGAGGTTATGCACACAAAGAAAAGACTTTTAGGCACTTTCTTCAGAGTTGCCTTTTATGGCCAAGTAAGTATACTTTAGTTCATAAAGTTGTTTTCCTTTTTAAACATTCACCTTTGAGTGATTACTGTAGCAGCAGTTATTGGCTCTAGGATTCTGTCTAGATAGAGCACCTGTCACAACAGCAGGAAGCCTCGTTTGTAAGTGTAAAGTTCACTTTGGTTCCCATATCTAAATCCACTAGGTCAGAGAACAACATATAAAATTTGAATGTTTCCTCCAGTTTCATTTTTTGTTAAGTTTCTTAAATGTATATTTAATATCTAGCACTGAAAGATTTGCAATAAAAATCAGGTAAGTATGCAGGCGATGAAAAAATCGAGTGTGGAAATCTTCAGGCCAATAATATGCTCACATGACTGTGAGTTTGAAAATTCTCATTTATTTCAGTTAAAATATATGCATGTGACTTTTAGTACTATTATTTAAAATCTATTTCAAATACATTATTGCTAATTATTTAGTAGATTTTCTCTAAGTGCTTTGTTTGCTCATATTATTTATAAATTGTCATATGTTTAACTTTATAATAGTCTTTTTTTGAAGAAGAGGATGGGAAGGAGTACATCTATAAAGAGCCAAAGCTCACCGGCCTCTCGGAGATTTCCCTGAGACTTGTTAAACTTTATGGTGAAAAATTTGGTACAGAGAATGTCAAAATAATTCAGGATTCAGACAAGGTAACATATTTATTGGTTCCAGGTGTGGTACGTTGCTTCTGACTTTTTCCTTTTTTAGCTAGTGGAGGAGAGGCATGGGAAATAGAGCCTTTCCAGATCGTGAAAGAAAGGACAGGGGCTTTGGAATCAGAAAGAAGGATTCAAATCTCCATTCTCTGCCACTTGCTAGCTGTGTGACCATGGGGAAGTTACTTAACCTCTCTGTGCCTCATTGTTCCATTAGTAAAATGAAGTTAATAATAGTGCCTTCCTCATGGAGTTGTTGTACGGATTAAATGAGTTAATATATGGAAAGTGATTAGAGTTCCTGGTATGTAAAAAAGCATTCACTAATAATAATAGAAGCTGGCACGCTCAATAAAGGTTAGCTATTATTGTGAATGCTGTTGGGCATCATGATTGTCAATTTCATACTTCATGATTAAAATCATCTTAGGACACACATTTTACTCTAAGATATCCTTAGTTCACTAGTTACATTCGCAGTGATGTAGGTTTAGGAGAGATGCCTTGGGCCTTGATCTAAAGATTATCCATCCCACTAGCCCTGCCAAGGCAAGGATGAGAAAGGTTCCAGCAAGAGAGGCTCTTTCCTAGAAATGCATAGCTCCCTATAGACAGAATCGCGGGAAGCCACAATAGGAATGCCTGACTGTCCTTAGTTACAGTGGGTATGTACAGGATGAGAGCTGACTTTTCAGGTAGGAAGGACCTATACAGTGCAGGATCTGTAGACCCCAGAAATATTTACTGCGTGACCATGACGTGCATGGTGCTATGCAAAGCACTCAATAGCTAACAGGCAGCATTGCCGGAGTGAAAAGCCCGTGGCGCTAGTAAAGACACTTCATTTTCTACTATGAAAATGATCTCTTCACTTTGTAAACTTACCTATATCTCATGGAGATGATTTTATCTTACACGTATGCCTTCGACATTTAAAAATAGACGTGCTGATAGGTTCAAAATTCATGAATATTTGGCAGAACCTCTCTACTTCTGATCCGTTTCACTATTTTGTGTTGTTTTATTGAATTAAGGCAACAGAAAATTTTATCTCCTTATAGCCAGAAAGTTTTAGGCTTGCTGCCATACTACTGATACTATAAATGGAAAGTTAATAGAAAGCCAGGCTTGCAGAATAACATGCGGTTTCCTACTTTCTTCTGCCTCCGAAAACCTGGCCAACAAGCACTAATGACAAACCACCATCAGGCAGCTGGACTCCTGACATTTTTATGCACAATATTTTAGTCATTCTTCATAGGCAACAGATATAATAAGCAGTTGCTACTTTTAAAATCCTTATTTCTTTCTTAATGTGTGAAATTGAAAATTAAAAACACTCTCTTACTTGCCAAAGAACAAAATTTGCTTAAGGGCACAAACAATGTGAAAAACAGTTGGGCAGTATTTTCGAGTATTTTAAATGTATCTTTCCTTGGACCCAATAATTTCACATTTAACATTTTATCTTGTAGATAGATATACACACATAAAGATGTATGTTTAAAGGTGTTTATTGCTGCAGAGTTTATATAACCAAAACCTGGAAACAATCTAATATCCACATGGTTAAGGAAGTGGTACTACCCCCGTATAATGAGTATTGGTATTACCTATCAAGATATATTATTGAGAGAAAAAAGGTGAGGCACAGAACATTATGGATAGGATGTTTACATTTGTGAAAATTGATATTCACATATGCGCACTTGTTTATGCTTAGGAAATTTCTGGAATGATACATACAAAATTGTTAGCCATGGTTATCCCTGAGGAGAGAGACTAGAGTCTTATGTGGGAAGAAAGACTTTTTTTTTACTTTTCATATATACCCTCATGTACTGTTTGAATGTTTACCATATACATAGTTTATTTTATAAGGTCAAAATCAGTCTTGACCTCTTTTTAAATTTTCCTTCTATGTCTTGTCTTAGCCAGATACTTAACCTCACCTGAGTTTCTCTGGAGAAATCTAGCTTTTTAATGGGAAAGAAAAGAAAGGATTTCTAGATTTAGGCTTTTAGATTTTCATGTAATAACAAGTAGAATGGGTTTGGAGAAGTTTTAAAAGTTGCTAAGAAACTTTCCCTTGTCTAGGGTCCTGTATATGTGGAGGGGAAAAAAAAGGATGTAGGGACTGTTTCTTGGGAGGTTTTTGTTGTTTTTTTGGTTTGTTTCCATTTTTCCTAAGCTAAACACAAAAAGGCCTGACTATGATAAATTGCAAGGGTATTGACAGTGCCACCAACACCCAAGGCACAAGTCAAATTTAGTTGGGAGAACACTGAAAGAAGAGGGCCCTGGGAATCATCTGGAGTTAATGGAGACACTGCAGCATAGCTTCTTAACATGGAATTTAGACTCTTTATGAAATGGTTTGTAACTATTATAATTTTATATCTCTGAAATAGAACCATTCTCCTTTCCTGTGGTCCCCTTCCTCCATAGAAAATAGGCTTAGTGCGATCAAGAGTACCCACTCTTAACAGTGTCAAATACTGCTTGTGGATGTACGAATTGTCATCTTTTCTGTAGGGTAGTTGGGTAGTATGTATCAAAATTCCCAAAACCATGTAAATCTTTTAACTAAGCAACTTCTCGTCTAAAAATGTTTCCTAAGGAATAAATCAGAAGAAAATATACACAGTTTTAAATACAGGGATGTTCATTGGAGCATTATTTATAATAGCAAAATGTTGGAAAACAACCTGAGTCTGTTAATGAGGGACTGATCTAATAAATCATGTTTATCCGTATCCATCCATTAAAAGTCATGTCAATGACTATAATATAGAACTGTGATAACTATCTTTTTTATTGTGGTAGAATACACATAACATTTACATGTTAACCATTTTTAAGTGTACAGTTCAGTGGTGCTTCCAACACCATGTTGGGTAGAAGTGGTGAAATGGGCATCCTTGCCTTGTTCCTCATCTTAGAGGAAAAGCTTTCAGCTTTTCACCATTGAATGTGATGTTTGCTATAGGTTTTTCACAGTGGCCCTTGATCAGATTGTAGACATTTCCTTCTATTCCTACTTTATTGAGTGTTTTTATTATGAAAGGGTGTTGAATTTTGTCAAATGCTTTTTCTGCGTCGATTGAGATGATCATGTGGGTTTTTTTCCCCCTTCATTCTGTTAATGCAGTGTATCAATATTACATTGATCAATTTTCATATGTTGAACCATCCTTGCATTCCAGGAATAAATCCCACTTGGTCATCGTGTACAATCCTTTTAATATGCTGCTAAATTCAGTTTGCTAGTATTCTTTTGAGAGCTTTTGCATCAGTGCTCATAAGGGATATCGGTCTGTAGTCTTCTTGTGCTGTCTTTGTCTGGCTTTGGTAATCGGAGTATTGCTGACCTCGTAGAATAAGTTAGGGAGTGTTTCTTTCTCTTCACTGTTTTGGAAAATTCTCCTTTAAATATTTGAGAGACTTCACCAGTGAAGATACCAAGTCCAGAGCTTCTCTCTGTCAGGAGATTTTTTTATTACTGATTGAGTTTCCTTACTAAAGATCTGTTCAGATTTCCCTATTTCTTCATGGTTTAGTCTCGGTAGGCTTTGTGTTTCTAGGAATTTGTTCATTTCACATTTCATCTAGGTTTTCTAATTTGTTGGCATATACTCGCTCATAGTACTCTCTTATAATCCTTTTTATTTCTGTAGGATTGGTAGTAATGTCCTCATTTTCATTTCTGATTTTAGTAATTTGAGTGTTCTCTCTTTTTTTCTGTTCTATTTAGTTAAAGGGTTGTCAATCTTGTTGATCTTTTCAAAGAGCCAACTTTTGGTTTCATCGATTTTCTGTGTGATTTTTCTATTCTCTATTTCATTTATCTGTGCTCTAGTCTTTATTATTTCCTTCCTTCTGCTAGCTTTGAGTTTAGTTGTTCTTCTCTTTCTAGTTCCTTAAGTTGTAAAATTAGGTTGTTGATTTGAGACCTTTCCTGTTTTTTAATGTTAAATGTTAGAGCTATAAATTCCCCCTCCCACCCCGTAGCACTGCTTTTGCTGTGTCCCATAAGTTTTGGTATGTTGTGATTTCATTTTCATTAATACCTAAGTATTTTCTAATTTCCCTCGTGATTTCTTCTTTGATCCATTGATTTCTTCAAAGAATATGTTGTTTAATTTCCACCAATTTGTGAAGTTTCCAATTTTACTTCTGTTGCTGAGTTCTAACTTCATCCCATTGTGTTCAGAGAAGATACTTTGTATGATATCTGTCTTTATAAACCTATCGAGACTTATTTGTGGCTTAACATATAGTCTATCCTGGAAAGTGTCCCATGTGCACTTGAGAAGAATGTGTATTCTGTTGTTGGGTAGAGTTTTCTATATATGTCTGTTAGGTCTAGGTAGATCACTGTGTTATTCAAGTCATCTATTTCCTTACTTACCTTCTGCATGGGTGTTCTATCCAGTATTAAGAGTGAGCTATTAAAGTCTCCAGCTATCATTGTAGAACTATTTATTATTTCTCCCTTCAGTGCTATCGATTTTTGCGTCATATATTTTGATGATCTGTTATTAGGTGTGTTGATGTTTATAATTGTTTTATCTTCTTGCTGTACTGAACCTTTTATCAATGTATAACGTCCTCCTTTGTCTCTTGTAACCTTTTAAAATTTAAAGTCTATTTTTTCCAATATTAGTATCTTTACCCCTGCTCTCTTTTGATTACTATTTGGATGGGATATCTTTTTCCATTCTTTCACATTCAGCCTTTGTGCGTCTTTGGAGCTAAAGTGAGTCTCTTATAGACAGCATATCGTTGGATCATGTTTGGTTTTTTTTATTCCATTCTCCCAATGTCTGTCTTTTGTTTACAGAAGTTAACCCATTTATATTTAAATTAATTACTAATTATTAAGGAGGGACTTTACTGCTGTCATTCTGCTATGTTTTCTATGTGTCTCATAGCTTCTTTGTCTCTCATTTCCTGCATTACTATCTTCTTTTGTGTTCAGTTGATTTTTTTGGCAGTGGTTTTTGTTTTAGTTTTTAAATCACATCCTCTCTCTCTCTTTAAATTTTATTTATTTTTGGCTGCGTTGGGTCTTCATTGCTGTACACGGGCTTTTCTCTAGTTGCGGTGCGCGGGCTTTTCCTTGCAGTGGCTTCTCTTGTTGCGGAGCATGGGCTCTAGGCACACGGGCTTCAGTAGTTGCAGCACACGGGCTCAGTATTTGTGGCATGTGGGCTGTAGGGCACACAGGCTTCAGTAGTTGTGGCACGCGGGCCGTAGAGTGCAGGCTCAGTAGTTGTGGTGCACAGGCTTAGTTGCTCCACAGCATGTGGGATCTTCTCGGACCAGGGCTCGAACCCGTGTCCCCTGCATTGGCAGGTGGATTCTTAACCACCGCGCAACCAGGGAAGTCGTCCCTCTCCCTCACTTTTAAGGACAGTTTTGCCAGATATAGGATTCTTGGTTGATAGATTTTTTTTTTCCTTTGGCACTTCGAATATATCAGTCCACTGCCTTCTGGCCTCCGAAGTTTCTGATGAGAAATCTGATAATCTTATTGAGGATCCCTTGTGTGTGACAAGTCGTTCATCTCTTGCTTCTTTCAAAATTCTCTTTGTCTTTGGCTTTTGACATTCTGATTTTAATATGTCTCAGTGTGGGTCTCTTTGAGTTACCCTTCTTGGAGTTTGTTGAGCTTCCTGTCTTTCATCAGATTTGGGAAGTTTTCACCCATTATTTCTTCAGATATTCTCTCTGTCCTTTTCTCTGCCTTTTCTCCTTCAAGGACTCCCGCAATGGGTATGTTCGTCTGCTGGATGATGTTCCACGGGTTCCTTAAGGCTCTGTCGCTCTTCTTCAGTTTTTTTTTTCCTTTGTGTTACTCTGATTGATAATTTCCATTGTCCTATCTTCAAGTTTACCGACTATTACTTCTGCCTGCTGAAATTTGCCTTTGAATCCCTCTGGTGAATTTTCATTTCAGTTATGTTTTTCAGCTCTGAAAAAAAATTTTGGTTTCTTTTTAGATTTTCTACCTCTTTATTGATATTGACATTTTGTTCGTACATCATTTTCTTGACTTTTTCCATAACTTCCTTTAGTTCTTTTAGCATGAAGACTGTTGTTTTAAAGTCTTTTTCTAGGAGATCTGCTGCCAGGTCTTTTTCAGGGACAGTTTCTATTGGTTTATTTTTCTCGTTTGAATGGGCCATACTTTCCTGTTTCTTTGTGTGCCTTGTGATTCTTTTTTTGTTGAAAACTGGACATTTGAATTTAATAACATGATCACTCTGGAAATCAGATTCTCTCTCTGTCCCAGAGTTTGCTGGTTTTTGGTTTTGTTTTTAATTGTTGTAAGCTGTCTCTGTGCCAGGGATAAGCCTGAGGTGTAAACCTGGGGACTTATCAGGTCTTTCCTTAGCCTGTGCCTTCCCCTGAGCATGTGCAGTGACTTTCTAGTTTCCTTCACATATGCAGTTGCTTTTGAATGCCCTAGTGTCCAGTGTCTGGCTCCCAAGAGGGGAAAGGGAGGAAAATGAAGGGAGGAGGGGGAGAAAAGGTACCGGTCCTTTAAATACCCTGGAAGTCACTTCAGCCAGAGGGGGAGGGCCTTGCAACAATGGGAAGAGGTGCTACAGTAATGGCCTGCAGCCTCTTTGACTGCCCCCCTGTGATCAGAAGCAGCAATCAGCAGTCAGCAGTCGTAGCACAGATCCCCAATATTTGGAAGAAGACAGGGTCCTTCTTGTTCATCCTGACTCCCGCAAGCTGTTCCAAGAACATGTGCACCGCCGCCTGCCATGGTACTTGAGGGGTGAGGTGCAGATAGCGGCCATTGTGCCAAGAGCTAAAATAGACCAAACTCAAAATTAAGGTAATTTCCTGTCCAGGTCCTCCCCTGGAAGTTGCAAGTCTTCAATAGACTCCAGAGTTCCAAAATACTTACATCAGATAGATTCTGCCAGTGTAACTGTTGTCCCTGTAGGAAGATAGATTTCTGGTGCTCTGCCATCTTCTCCGAATCCTCTCTATAGTATATATTTTGTAGAGGTGGAATTCAGATGTGCAGTTAAGCCACTTTAATATATTTTTAGGAAATCAGATTATAAAACAATGTTCAGCATGATCTCAGGTTCGTAAATACATGTGCATAGAAAAGAGATTGGAAGGAAATATATGAAAATGTGAATAATGGTCATTGCTGAGTGGTAGCATTACAGTTTCTGTCTTCTGCCTACGTTTCTGTAATCTCCAAATAGGTTTCTGTAACTTCTTAATAATCAGAAGGAAACGATCCTTGAAAAAAGAGCGAAGACCTCTTCCAGGTGTGTATTCAACTCACAGTGTATTCAGCGACAGTGGTCCTCAGTTGATTTCAGAGGAGTTAGTAGCTTACCTGTACCCCCTTTTCCTATATATTGAATAAAAAACAAAACTTTCTTACCTTACAGGTAAATGTCAAAGAGCTTGATCCCAAATATGCTCATATCCAAGTCACTTATGTGAAGCCCTACTTTGATGACAAAGAACTCACAGAAAGAAAAACTGAGTTTGAAAGAAACCATAATATCAGCAGATTTGTTTTTGAGGCTCCTTATACATTATCAGGCAAAAAGCAAGGCTGTATAGAAGAACAGTGCAAACGCCGTACGATCTTGACTAGTAAGTGGGACTTGGCATAACTTCTTTGTTTGACATGGTCGTTTTTTGATGCACACAAGCAGCAGCTGGTCAGCAGGAAAATGTAACTGAAATTTTAATCATTCATTGTTCTGCTGTTCAGTCACTAGCTTGCACAAACATGGCTACGTTATAAACCATTGGTTTCCCGTATGTAATTCATGATTGCTCTGAGTTGTCTCATAAAGAGAATTTCTCCCTCAATCCTGCAGTAATAAGGCGCCTATCTGGTCCCTAAGGTATTTTCCAGACAAAGCATGGGGAGAATTAAGCACAATCGATTTTTTTCTTTAATTTGCCTGTTTGATTTACTATCTTAAAAACTCATTTGTTCAACCTTAACATTTAATAGCTTCAAACTCGTTTCCATATGTGAAGAAGAGGATCCCTATAAACTATGAACAGCAGATTAATTTAAAGCCAATTGATGTTGCTACTGATGAAATAAAAGATAAAACTGCAGAGCTGCAGAAGCTTTGCTCTTCTGCTGACGTGGACATGATTCAGCTCCAACTTAAATTGCAGGGCTGTGTTTCAGTGCAGGTATGTTGCTTGCTAAACATGTATTAAATGTTTCTTGACGTTCCTCTTTCATAAGGGCAAAGAGCAAGCATTAATTGTAATTGTCTGTTATACCCTGACTGAGTGCAAAAACCTGTACATTTTTGATTACGTTAATAAAGAAATTATGTTCAGTTTCCATAAATTTTGTGTTATGTCAGAGGACTTGAACATAAATCCCTCTGACTATAGCCAAGCCCTGTATTTACATATCGGAAATCATTAACTAACCTATTAGAATATTACCTTTACAGATGATTTGCTTTAATCTTTTTCAAATAAATTTATAGTAAGAATAGTAAATATGTTTCTCAGGTGTGGATTTTTAACATACTGGTTTTCTTTAAAAAGAGAATTGTAAAAATTACGTTTTGGTTGTATTCTAACAACCCTCTCATTTTTCTCCTTTTGTAATTTAGGTAAATGCAGGTCCGTTAGCATATGCAAGGGCTTTCTTAAATGACAGTCAAGCTAGCAAGTATCCACCTAAGAAAGTAAATGAGTTGAAAGACATGTTTAGGTAAGTGCTTTGTAGTTTTCAGATTATTCCTCTATTCTTTTACTCCATTTTCTTCTTAAAAGAAACCAAAATATTCACCAAATAATGTCCCTCCAAAAAAGGACATTCTCTGTTCTCTTTCACAACATTTAAGTGACCTTCTAATGGTACCTTAAGTAGTAAGGAAATGTGTGATTTCTTTCTTGCCGCAGAACTTTAACAATGTCCTAGTGACCCAAGACATTAAATATGACAACTTACTGTATTGCTTTGGATATTGTGACACAAACACAAGCCTACATTCATTATGTGATGTCCTCCTTTGCCCGACTGACCTTATGTTACAGCTTTTCAGACCATTTAGGGTAGGAAGGGCTGGATAAGCTTGCTTCTATCCACGTCCTTAGTTCCACTTGGATTCTTCCAGTCTAGGGCATGTGATGTCTCGTCTGGACTGAGCATCCCTCTAAGCTAGGGCATGTCTGAATGCTCTTGCATTGGAAAAAAAATCTGTTTCATCTATAAAAAGAGTTTACACTCAGAATAAGAGAGACAGCTGAGTAAAATAGGCTAAGGAGAAAGATGATAGCTTATCCGCTCATTTGCTTCAGACTTATAACAGTCACTTGTCCTGTCTCTGTGTTATCAGCTGTTTCAGGTTACAGAGTAACCAGTAGTCATTCATTCAATAATTATTAATGCCTGGCACGTATGAAAAGATTCTACTAGTTGCTATGACAGGGATACAAAACAAGTGGGCAGTGAGGTACTTTGTCCCCTGAGACCTACCGTTTAATTATGGACATTAAACATAAACACATGAAGTGATGGAAAAATGCTTTTATGATAACTCATCAACTCTCTGTCCCAACTCTGACCAGCCCAGGGCAGATACTTCATGCCTATAGCACCCAGCACTGTACTGGGTGCATAGTTAGTACCAAAAAAAAATATTTTTGAATGGATGACATTATCTACAGATGTAAACTAATGTTAGCACAACTTGAGCTGATATCATATCAAGTAAATGACTGAGCAAGTAGGCTTCCTAGAGGGTATATGTTTTGAGCTGGATTTTGAAGGAGGTAAGAAAGCAGAAGAGAAAGATGGAAAAGAAAGAAAAAGATATTTCAGACTTAGGAGATGGCATTAGCAAAAGCACAGTGAAAATACAGGATTCTAATCTTCCTTGTAGGCAAGCCGTGGTTAAAGTAAATATTAAATTGTCGGTGAGACTTTCCAGGAATAAACAAGAAAAACTCTATCTTTGATCTTCATCCACAGGAAGTTCATCCAAGCATGCAGCATTGCGCTGGAACTAAACGAGCGGCTAATTAAAGAGGATCAGATTGAGTACCATGAAGGGCTGAAGTCAAATTTCAGAGACATGGTAAAAGAATTGTCTGACATTATTCACGAGCAGGCAAGTATTAGGGTGGTTGAAAACGAGAACGTGATCCGGGGTCCGTAAAGAGTTACTTAACAAATCTATTAGTTTGAAAGGTGTTACCTTGAAATTAGTATGTTATTTTAGAATTTGCTCATATCTTCTTTAATCATTTAAATGATGTAATACAAATGAAATTGGAAGCAATTACTGACAGTTGCTTTAGCAGGTGCTTCAGATAATAAATCATTTGGTTCTTTGCGCCACAGAGCCATTAGAAGCGAGTAGCTGAGCGAGTCTGAGTTGATCTACTATGAACATGGATAAGAATCTCTCAAGAAGGGTCCTAGAGAAGTGAAATGATTGGCTCAGTAGCCAAATCCCTAAATGAATATTCCTGTCTTAGCTGTAAGAAACTAGATACAGGTGGCCCTCCCTGTCTGCAGGTTACACATTCACGGATTCAACCAACTGCAGATCGAAAATATTTGAAAAAAAAATTCCAGGAAGTTCCAAAAAGCAGAACTTGAATTTGCTGCACATAGGCAACTATTTACGTAGCATTTACGTTGTATTAGGTATTATAAACAATCTAAAGATGATTTAAGGTATCGGGGAGGGTGTGCATAGGTTATATGCAAATACTATGCCGTTTTATGTAAGGGGCTTGAGCATCCTCAGATTTTAATATCTGTGCAGGGGGCAGTGGTCCTGGCACTAATCCTCCAAGGGTACCAAGGGACAACTATACCATCATTTAGGTGAGATCCTGAGTGAGTTCCAAAATTCGGGAATCGTCTTAATACCCATACAGCCAGTTCTGTTTTCATAAAACCTAGCATTTTAATGTATGACTGAGCGTTAATGACAGTTACAGCTAACTTAGTAGGACACAATCTGAAAAATACAGAGGCAAGGATCTGCTCACCACTTACAGCCAAATTATGTCATGATTAAGTGGTTATGACTTTCATATCCCCACTTACCTAAAACCAGAGTACTCCTGAATTGTCCTGGTAAATGTCATTCCTATATTAGGGTCCTGAAATCTGTGTTTACAACCACTCTAGACATGGACCGTCACTCAAGCATTTTAATATCTTCAACACAGTTGTAAAAGTCACAGCATGATGGTCTGGTCCCTCAGTGCGTGAGCCTGTTAAGCTTATCATAAAGTCTCCGTAATTTCCTTACTAAGGAAAACAGCCAATAAGATAAGTATTTGCTTCAGAAACTCTTCAAACTCTCAATTTTTTTAAGAAACTAAGGCTCCTTAAAAGAAACAAGGATAACTACAACCCTTTAGAGAACCCATTCTTGACACTGGTCCCAGAAAGGAGAACCTCATCTGTCCTGGTATCTGCATTTCATTGATTGCTTGGCACTCCCCTGTGTGAGACCATCACTCAAAGGGTGTACTTACAAATAGACTTACAAATAGTGGTTAGTTCCCAAAGAACTGCAGTGTAATGATGGGTGAAAGAAGAGATGTTTCGAGGAAAACAAAAGCTAGTTGACTCCAGGCTCTACCTCTCTGAATTTAGCATGTACGCTTTCTCTTAGAAAGGACTAGGGGAAATTTAGTTACCATTAGCCCAAGGTTGCACCGAGTGACCAGGAGTCTAATTTTCTAACCATGGTCATCTTCTCAGTATGGGGAAGCCAGTCGGCCAGACGTTCTTCGTCCCATCTGTTCAATGAGACGAGTCACCCCAGTCTCCTCCTACTCTCCCGTTCTCATGGCTGGGAATTTTGTTGGCCTGAGGAGTCTGGAATCAGTGACCTGTTTCTTCTTTTCGCCATGTTTACTTCTGTTAGCCCGCTTAGGAGTGAGTGCAAACTGTTCCAAGGCATACCTTTGCTGCTCAGTCTTCAGAGGCCCATCTTGGCCTCCTTCCCAAAGCAGCCAGGTGATCAGGGCTAGGAAGGTAGGGAATCATTCCACTTCCTTTATTGTCTGCATCTCAAGCTCAGCCCCTGAGTACAGTGGGTACTTCGCCATCACTGTTCTGGGGTACACTTGAATCAAATAAGACCACATAATTTATTCCTAGAATCTGTCCAGTTGATGGCGTTTTGTTCTCCATAGTCCATAGGAAAAAACAGCAAAAACTCCTCCTTCACAAAAGATATAAAACACTTACATCATTTTAAGCCAATGTGTATTATATTACAGTTATGTAATTTGCATGCAACCGTATGACCTAGCATTGAGCTCTAATTTATTCAACTTGAAAGCAAATCGTTCAATTCACTGCTATTACTGTGATCAAGATATTTAGAGTAGTAGTTTTATAAAGTTATTTTTTCCCGTGTTTAAAAAAAAAAAGTTCAACTGAGTAAATTTTAAAGATCTTGGCTTTATTCGGTGATTCATGAGTCGGGCAGCATCCCGTCCAGCAGACAGAAAGGAGCTCCGAAGAGTTTGACAAAATGGAAGACTTTTACAGGTAGAACGAGGCAGGACAAGGAAGTTACTCTAGAAAAGAGCTGATTCTTTCAGGCAAGGTCGCCTTCCTACGGGGCACAGCAAGGGTCTGTCAGGTGGAGTACCTCACCAGTGCCGACCAGGTAATTCCAGACTGAAAGTAATACACATACTTTCTTGACTGCTTAAGATTACCTGCCTAGAAAAGGCTGAAACTGCAATTAGCTTAGGTATTAAGTCTCAGGTGACGTGGGCTTAGCGCAAGTGACTCCATTTTGGGCCTCTCATCTTTTTTAACACCGTCAAGTGTGGATTTTACAAATCTGCTGTCTTATTTCCCACCTGTCTCTCTCATTTAATTTCCATGAACCATGGCTATCTTGTTTAGTTCTAGGGACCAGTATTTTAGACCTTTGATATTATATATTGATAGCTAACCAAGAAAAATCGTAGCTTCTATTGGTTTATATTTACGCACGCTGTACTGTCATAACGCCTCATATTCAGGTGTGCCTTACTTTGGGCAAATGTTGACTTTATAGTGAATTTTTTTTTGTAAGTCAATATTTCCTATTAGATTCTCATATAAAAGAGAGCCTTTTTTTAGTCATACACTTTGAGACATGTTATTTCCCAAAGGAAAACATAATAATACAAAATAAGATAAAATATAGCTGTGCATTGCAGTGTGAATTATCTATGAGCTCCATAAATGATTACTTGACAAAAAAGATACGGCCTGGATATCCTTGGCCCTTTTCAATGTAATCTGTTGCACTATACTAAAACATAGAGTCCTTTTAAAAACTTCTTCAAGCTTTTGACTTTTTAAAAGGGATGTATATCACCTTGAAACTATTAATTGCAGGTCTTAATTAGATGGAGTTGGTGGTGGCCATTGTAGTGTCTGTTTGGTCTGTTTTGTTCTTGATGAATGCTCTATTTTCTCGTCACATCTGACAGTTGTGGATAATCAATCATCTCTTAAACCTCTCCTGTGCTTTCAGATTAGTGTCATGAGTTACGATGCTTATAAGAGGAAATTTCTCTATTACGGACTTTATATAAGACATGATTTGTAGCAACACAAATGATGTGACGCATTACTGCCACCGTAAACTAATTTGCAGGCTTAATACTGAAGTTTCAGAGCTAACTTGAGAACCCAGTATTGAAAGCTTGCGACCTAAATTGGGACAGCATAGTAAAGAGGTTGGATGTGATGTGTACGCTATTCTTTTCTTCTATCTAATCCACGCATGAGATCTCTGTTGCTTTTGAGCACACAACATAGTTAATTTGGGGGACTTGCCTGGCGGTCCAGGGGTTAAGACTTCACCTTCCAACGCAGGGGGTGCGGGTTTGATCCCTGGTCGGGGAGCTAAGATCCCACGTGCCTCGCGGCCAAGAAAACAAAACATAAAACAGAAACAACACTGTAACAAATTCAATGAAGACTTTAAAAATGGTCCACATCAAAAAAAAATCTTTAAAAAAAGTGGATAATTTTTAAAACATCTATACTAATATGTATGTTTATATGTTTATGGGATATAAAATTTATACTTATGAAGTTTATTTCCAAGAAAAGTCTTCTGTATTAATTAGCTTATATAATTATAGTATGTATTTAGAAGTGTTCACTTATTTTCTCTTCGCTTAATATTATTTCCCAAGTCTCCAGGGAAGGAGCATGGGTATCTGCGTGTTTGAAAAGTCCCACAGTGATCCTGAGAACCACTCTTAGAAGATGATCTATAAACTTGTGTCCAAGAGTCCACTGTTTAGGGCTCTTGTTATGACCATCGGTTAAAAAAATTGTTTTAAAGATTGTATTACCTCTCGCTTTCTGTTGAATTTTGCATTTTACAGCCTTCTGTGTTTCTTAATGAGTAACCAGATCTTTTCTGCTTTTTTGATATGCTGCCTTTGTAATACAGCTTTGAAGACTTGAGTCGGTAATGTTTTTCTTTGCTCTTTCTGCTTTATGTCATTTTAAATAGCTAAGTGTCAGTGATAAATTGAAACATGCCTGCGATTTCATATACACATACTTCTTGGGCAGCGGCTACTTTACTTCATGATAAACATGCAGATTTCTTTCGTTTCAGATCTTACAAGAAGACACAATGCATTCTCCCTGGATGAGCAACACATTACATGTATTTTGTGCGATTAGTGGCACGTCGAGTGACAGAGGTTATGGTTCCCCAAGATACGCTGCTGAGATATGAGGGCATGCAGATGTAAAGTGATAACAAGAATGAACCTTCTCAGGAATATTTTGAGCTGTGCAAATGTTAAAATTTAAAGATTTGATATACGTGGAGTGTTTTCTTCCTGACACCAAAATTTTCATGCTTTCAAACAGGGTGCTTACATATTTGTAAATATTTAAGCAACTTGAAAGTGCCTGGAAAATTGCACCACTGTGCTTGGTTTGTACTTTTTTAGGTAAATCTATATACTGAGAAGTAGAGCTCAAAAACGTTAATTCGATTTGCTCAGCTGTTGCTTAAAATAATAATGGTACTGTGTAAAATTGTATAATGGAACACAATAAAAGGTAAAACTTATTTGTAATTAGAAGTGAAGGAAATAATACTTTGAACTTAGCATTTTTCTTGACAGGAAGCCAAATTTATTATCATACTAATCCTTGGAGAAAAAAAATTGATAAAATTTCCATAAAACATGGATACTTCCAACTGGGGAGATGATTTGAAATCTTGCCTACCAGTGGTCAGGACTGGGCTAAGGGAAGCAAAAGCATTATTTAAAAAGGAAAATTTCACAAAGAAAGGATATATATAGAAATAGCAGGGTTACCGATCCTTCAGGTTTTGATCCAGTGATGCTAGGTACTCCAGTTGGTCTCTCTGACAGACAAGACAAGGGATTCCTTTGTGGCATAGCTTTGCCTAGCAAGCAACGTTCGTTGCCAGAGCTTCATCAGCTGAGGCTATCTATAAAGCTAAACAAAACATCTCTGAGATTTGCAGTCAGTACATACTATGCAACTTCAAAGCTTTAGCAGCAGATTCTGAGGGTAGGGATTTTGTAATGATCATTTACAATGGTCATCAGTTTACAAGTTTAACAAGCATTTTGATAGAACTTGATGGTTGCAGCGTTTCTTGGGTGGGTATACATAAGCACCACAGATTTAGCAACTGCTAGCTAAGGATTACATCTCTAACTATGAAGAAGCCTCAGACTACCTAAATAATTCAGGAGAAACCAAGATGCGAAGAACTTTTTTAGCTTGAGTTATCCATATAATTTTGGCTGCCTTTCATGTAAACTTTAAGTCCTAGACTTATTTTTCTTATGTAGTTCAGCTTATTTTACAGACAAAAAAAAAAAAAAAGGGAAAACAGACACTGATATATAAATGGATCGCATGGAGCCTTGGCTTTTTAAATACTTTGTGATCAAGTAAACCTTAGAGATTATGCACCTGGCTTGGCCATTTTTCTTTACACGTCATTTTTAAGCTTTCAGGGGAGCATGAAATTATCTATGAAATGTTAATTTTGTATTTAATAGGGGATTCAGAAATTTCAGAGGCAGTTTGTAATTCCTTAATATCTTGGGGTAACTGGAGAGTTAGTTTCACCTTTAAAGTGATTATATTTGGCATGTATACGGAAAGAACCGTCACCTAGAGAGAGTGCTGCCTTCTGAGAATGAGGCATCTTGGGGAAACTTCAGTGCTCTTTTGTCAATAACTAGCCCCTATCATGTCCCCCAGCAAAGTACTGTGCCCTGTGGATAATTTTTTAAAGTATAACAAATGACCCCCGCCCTCAAGGAACTTGCAATCTAGTTGAGGAGGCAAGATAGACACAAAATTAAATAAAACAAGAATTGACAATATAAGACAAGAAAAGTTGTATATGAACATTGACAGATGAAGGACATTGCCCATAGCTCACATCACATTCAAGGAATGAGAGGCCGCTGTGAGTTGTAATGTTCAGGGATGGTTTCATGGGCAAAAGTAAGCCTTGAACAGGCTTTCAAAGGTGAGAGGGTGTTCTAGGCAGGAGGAACATCATAAGCAAAGGTGCAAAAAGAATTTGCAGAAGTTCAGGGGATGGTGAGACCAGTTTTGTTCAAGGGAGTAGTGGAAAGAAAGTTCAGACCTAGATTTTGGAAGGCCTTGAATACCAGGCTAATAGTGTTTGGACTTTAGTCAGTACACATGAGGGAGCCAGTCCAGGTTTTTGAACAGAGAGACTACTTGATTAAATGTTATTTTTAGTTATGAGTCCATAAACCCATAGATGTGAACAAGAATGGAGAAGAAAGGACAAGTACAAGAGATACTCTGTGGAAAGACTGGACATGACTTATTGATGGCTAAGGAGAAAAGAGGAAAAGTTAAAGAGAATTTTGTGTCCTGTGGCCAGTGAGTTGTCGGGGTCATAGCACAATTTCACTAGATTTTTTTTCACCAACTTTCAGACTGAGGTCAGAAAGCTATATACAGAGAACAAGGTGGGCTAGACTAGAGAGAGCCAGCGAAATGTGTTTTGAAACACTGCATATATTAGGCATTACTGTTTATATAGTTTAATGATTTCATGAAGTGATTTGGCCTCTACAGATTAATTCACATCAAAGAGTACGTTTCTGCTATACTGATTATTTTTGCAGTTAAGCTTGAGTCCAGTTTCCCCTGGAAGCTCTTGTTTTGATAGTCTTTGACCATATTGTAAAATGTGAATAAAGTCACCATTAGTCGTGTTAGTTTTTCACTACAGTGATAACCCGTAGAGAAAGTAAGCAATTCCATGTAGGTTTTCCAAGTAACCAGTGCACCAATGGCATCCTGTCTCTAGATGGGATTGTTATTGTTACCATATGATTTGACTGCTTATAATAAATACTGTCAACATCTTTTTAGAAATGAAACGAAGAGCAGCAGTGGTAGCAACAGCCTTGGAACCTTGACCAACGTATCATAGAACTAGAGATGACTCACTGGTTAATTAACAAACTAAATAGGTCAGCATAATAAAAACCTAAGCCTTTGATTATAAATACTGGTTTATCTGAAATGCAGAACCTGAGCAATGTATTGGAATAATAGGAAATTTCCAAACTCTTGAAAATATTAATAATCAGACACATATCTCAGGCTTGTGATCCACAAAATGGTGGGCTACCTTCAGTCTTGTTCTAACAGTATACTACTTCAGCTATCAAAACACAGGGGGGGAAAAAAAACCACAGGGGAAAGGAGTAGAGTAAAAGGGGTGGGGAGTGTGGGTGTGTGTAGCAAGGCTATTCCCCTGTCCTGGGATTTGGCCTGCAAGAGTGCTTTGTTCGTCTGGTTCCGGTTACAATAATGCTTTTTTTCTAGTCCCAAACCACGTAATGGTTACTTGAAGAAAAGTGTATATGTATGTTTACCCAACTCCTGATTGAACTTGTGACTAAATCCTTCAAAGATTTTGCCTCTGTGTATGGCATCTTAAAACTTTTTCCAACAGGCTTTTTTCTCTTCTGTTTTCCTCTTTATTGAGCTGTGATTCACACACCGTATGATTCACCCATTTGAAATGCACAATTCAAGGGTTTTTAGTATATTCAGAGTTGTGCAACCATCACCACAATTAATTTTAGAAATTTTCATCACTCCAAAAAGAAACCCCATACACATTAGCAGTCACTCCCCATTGCCCACCAACCAGCCCCCAGCCCCTGACAATCAGTAATCAACTTTCTGTATCTACAGATCTGTATTCTGGACATTTCATATAAATAGAATCACACAATATGTGGCCTTCTGTGGAACTAGCTTCTTTCATTTAGCATAATATTCTCAAGGCTCATCCATGTTGTAGCATGTATCAGAATTTCACTCCTTTTTAATGGCTGAATAATATTCCTTTTGTATGGATACACCACATTTAATCTGTTCATCAGTTGATGGACATTTGGGTTATTTTTGCTTTGGGGCTATTATTGATAATGTTGCTATGAACACCCACGTACAAGTTTTTGTGTGGATATGTTTTCATTTGTCTTGGGCGTATACCTAGGAGTTGAATTACTGGGTCATATGGTAACTCTACGTTTAGCGTTTTGAAGGACTGCCAGACTGTTTCCCGCAGCAGCTGCCCCACTTTACAGTGCCGGCAGCAGTAAATAAGGATTCCAATTTCTCAGTATTCTCAGCAACACTTGTTATTATCTGCCTCTTTGATCATCACCTTCCTAGTGGGTGTGAAGTGGTATCTCATTGGGGTTTTTGTTTGCATTTCCCAAATGGCTAATGAAGTTGATCATTCTTTCATGTGTTCGTTGACTATTTTTATGTTCTTTGGAGACAAATCTTTTCAGATTCTTTACCCATTTTTAAACATTGGTTTGTCTTTTTATTGTTGAGTTGCAAGAGTTCTTTATATGTTCTAGATGGAAGTTCCTTATCAGATATATGACTTCCATATATTTCTGTGGGTTGCCTTTTCACTTTTGTGATGGTGTCCTTTGAAACAAAAGTTTTTAATTTTGATGAAGTCCAATTTACCTACGTTTTCTTTTGTCGCTTGTGCTTTGATATTGTACCTAAGAAGACATTGCCTAATCCAAGGTCATGGAGATTTATACCTACATTCCCTTCAAGTTTGGGAGTTTTAACTCTTACTTTTAGGTCTTTGATCCATTTCAAGCTGGTTTTTGTATATGGTGTGAGACAGGGCTTCAAATTCATTCTTTTGCACGTGGCTATCCAGTTGTCTTTGTACCATTTGTTGAAAAGACCATTCTCCCCCATTGAATTGTCTTGGCACCCTTTTCAAAAATCTATTGACCATAAATGTACAGGTTTATTCTGGGCTCTCAGTTCTTTTCCACTGATCTGTATGTCTGTCCCTATGCCAGTACTGCATTGTCTTGATTACTGTAGCTTTGTAGTAAGTTTTTAAATTGGGAAGTGCAGGTCCTCCAACTTCAATCTTTTTCAAGACTGTTTTGGGTATTCTGGGTCCCTTGCATTTCCATATGAATTTTAGACTCAGATTATCAATTTTTGCAAAAAAAAAAAAGTAGCTGGGATTTTGGTAGAATTTGCTGTGAATCTGTAATTTAATTTGGGGAATATTGCCACCTTAACAATATTAAGTGTCCCAATCCATGAACGTAGGATGTTTTTCTGTTTGCTTTGGTTGTCTTTAATTTCTTTCAAAAGTATTTTGTGGTTTTCAGTTTAGAAGTCTTACACTTCTTTTGTTAAAGTTATTCCTTAGTATTTTATTCTTTTTAATGCTATTGTAAAGGGAGTTTTTTTTTAATTTCATTTTCCGATTGTTCATTGCTAGTTTATAGAAATACAACTGACTTTCGTATATTGACCTTGTATCCCGAAACCTTGCTGAATGCATTTATTAGCTTTAATGGTTTTTTATGGGTTCTTCAGTGTTTTCTATGTAAGATCATGTCATCTGAAAATACAGATAGTTTTACTTCTTCCTTTCCAATCTTGATTCTTTTTATTTCATGTTCTTACTTGGCACTTGGCTAGAACTTCCAGTAGAATGTTAAATAGCAGTGGTGAGAGCAAGACGTCCTTGTCCTAGTACTGATCTTGGGGAGAAAGCTTTCAGTCTTTCACCTTTAAGTATGGTATTAGCTGTGGGTTTTTCACAGATGCTTTTTATCAGGTTGAGGAAGTTCCCCCCCAACATGACTTGCATCTGTTTTCCAATTCAGTTTCCCCTGGTAATCATATGATCCGTGTATGACATGTAAGGAAATAGATGAGAAATGGTTAAGAAATGTACTCAAGGTACACATCAAATTAGAGATGAAACCAAGGCATCCTAACTCAGTCCACAGTGTTTTCAACTATTATATGCTATTTCCTATAGTCTCCTGCTGCAACTTCCTGCAGCTTTCTACAGAGACCAAAAAAGTTTCCTCTCTCCCTTTTTACTAAGAAGGTAAGCTCCATAAAGGTAGAGTCTGTGTCTAATTTTTCACCTCTGTTTCCTTGAAATCTAAAAGTGCCTGCCACAGAATAAGTACTTGAGCGGTCTCTAGGAAATAAAGCCAGTTTAGATAAGCAGATACTTCCAGGGCTTTTATTATGATCAAGCCAATGTAGACAATATCCCAGCCCTCGGAGACAGTGCGGTTGAGAAGGTAAGACATAGTCACATAAGGTATGAAGAGGTCTGATAATAGCAAATCAGTGGTAATGGCAAGTGCTTGAATAGGCAGAGCTTTTCTAGATGTAGAACAAAAAAGGCTTCGTGGAGGAGCACAGCCTTGAAGGATGGGTAGGAACTAGCGTGTGTGCATTAAGGAAGTACGTTAGGCAGGGATTTTAACGAGAAGTTGAAAAATTAACTTCATTTTAATTATCATGTGGACTCTGACCGTTAAAACCAATCAGTATCACAAGGAACATGCAAAGGAAAAATAATAATAGAGTGCATGTAAAATCAAGTAACATTCTCTATCTTGTTTTTCTGACTCCCTTATCCTTTCGTCTTAGATTCAAACTGAGTAAATCAGTCTTTTCTTTTTGTCTAGAAAATGTATGCTCTAGTTGCTTCATTCCCACGTTAGAAAACTTTTTCAGCCTACCTCAGTCAAGTTCTGACCAACAAGTCTTGTTCTTTGTGCATTGTAGCATTTTGTAATAATCACTGCTTCAGTAGATCTCCTAGTTGAGAGTCTTAAAAAGCTCTGGACCCCTCATTCTGCATGCCGAGTGTGTGCCTCTGATAGGAAACCAATGGAAGCTATCATGTGAGCAGTTCAGGGCTGCAATCCGCGAATTGTAGACCATTCGCCACAATTTTTTTTTTTTTTTTTTTTTTTTTTTGGCGGTACGCGGGCCTCTCACTGTTGCGGCCTCTCCCGCTGCAGAGCACAGGCTCCGGACACGCAGGCCCAGCGGCCATGGCTCACGGACCCAGCCGCCCCGCGGCGTGTGGGATCCTCCCAGACGGGGGCACGAACCCGCGTCCCCTACGTCGGCAGGCGGACTCCCAACCACTGCGCCACCAGGGAAGCCCTCGCCACAATGTTTTGATCTCCCATCGTGAACCAGGTATATGAATGATCAAGGCAGTATTCGGTGGGCAGGTATACAGATGAGAGATTATAATTAAAATCTAGTAGTTATTCCAAGGGTAGTCTTTTTCTGTCAATAACTGGACTGGGTCTTCTGAATTCTGTATCCCTGAAGAGAAACATCTTATGTCTCTTTGAGGGATATAAATAATAGTGTCTGGAACTGATATACTTGAACATTTAATATTAAGAAGCAAAAGCAGACCTAAAATCGATGTGGAGTTCTGTTCAATGCAAAGACGATCAGGTCCTATAGTGCTCAGGCAGTGAATTATTTCAGAATTCTTCTTTGTCAGGATTTGAGATGCTTCCAGAACCACTGTAAATCGTGATGATAGTACTATGCCCTCCCTCCACATCCCAAACTAAATCTAGACACACAAACACAGACAAAATGAAAGAGGTCGAGTGAGGGAAAAGGGCCGAGTTGACAAAATTATCCCTATCAGAACAACTACGGTGAAAATGAAAGACTTCTGGAAGGAAACTTGGCTGCACTTTGTTCCACTGCAACCCCAAGTAGGTACAAGGTCAGCTGAAGACAATTCAGGTCACATGTAAGAGAATTTATGGTCAGGGAAGTAATTTGGGGGTATTTACGCAGAAAATAAGG